TTCACTCACAAGTTTCTAGTATCAATGAATTTGAACTTTTTCACCGACTTGTTATGACCATGAGAAAACAGAAAGGCAAATAATGAATCAGTTAAATTGAACAAACAATGTCTGAATGAAACCACACCATTTACCTATTATTTTATGCACTTTGACATAAAAGTTCGGAAAAAAAGTGCTCAGTAAAAAGGGATTTGCTTGCCTTTTTCTTATGTGGAAAAAGTGTTATCAGCAACTTACATGTTTAGCAGGATTTGAAGTGAAGTCTTCAAGCTATATGACAATGAAAGCAACAAAGTTAAGGTTGTTTTGACAGATACATAGATATCAAACAAATTTATCAGACATCAGTATAATTTAAGATTTCACTTGCCTTAAACTTTCCTTGGAGTGAACTAGCCATAAAGTTCATCAAACCACCTGAGGTGGTTCGTGTCACCTGAAAATAGTAAAGTCTTACAAACAAGTTTTTAGCCAAAAGTATTATAAAAAATTGAAATCATCTTTGCATACCTCCATACAGTATTCAACACTGTTTTGGGCCAAATGGTTCAAGATTTCTAAAATATCACTCAAGGGGCACAACTATCAGAATTGAAGGTCATTAAAAATCAGCAAATCAAATGAAGGATTCCATTCAAGGATACTTGGGTCCACAACAGCAGCCGTGTTATCTGGGTTCACCACAAGGGCATACTCCTTACCCTGAAAAACAATGTGGAAATTATTAACAGTTTGTATCAGGATTCCTCCTCGCAACAAACTTTTGCATTTCTTTCTCGTAGATACCTCTTTATCTTATAGACATAGTGGAACAAAAAGGAATATGTTCAAAATCACGAAACAATCTTACCTGGGAGAGTAATACATCAAGAGTTCCACTACTCATGAGGGAAAGGAATTGAGCACCATGATCAGAAGAATACCTTTGTGTATAAAAAATTAAAAGAACCAATTGGGAAACTTTCAGCAGTTGGTAAGTGAAACCACAATACAACCGTAGAGAGCAAAAAAGCCAAATAATAATAATAATAATTCTATTGGCTATTGGAGGAATGATCAGATGGCCACATAAAAGTTTGGATAAATTGATAAATGAAATGAGGAAAAGATACCCTAAGATGGTACAAGCAAAGACATCTCTGCCTTTTCCAGTTCATCAATATGAAAGGTGGTAGGATGTTGACTGCAAAATATAAATTTTCATGTTCATCTAAATAAAATGCACTCAGATCCTAAAATCAAGAAAACATACATCTAGATCTAGAGTAGAATAATCTAAGAGGGTAACTATTTCATGAAAAACAGTGAGAAAAAGTTAAGTTGAAGAATAAATTCATGGAGTAATAATATCTGCAGAGCTACCCTTACAAAACATACATCTAGCTCAAGAGTAGAAAAATCTAAAAGGGTAACTATTTCATGACAAACAATGAGAAGTGAAGCTGAAGAATAAATTCATGGAGTAATACCTGTGGAGCTACCCTCATTTCTATTCAAAATTATAATTGCTTTCTAGAGCCTTACTATAAACTTTACCAAAACTTTGGGAAGCTGCTAAATATACTTATCATGGTTTAGTCATCACCATACAATCTTATATTAAAAAAAAAAAAAAGAACAATGTGTGGGAGGAAGGATACAAAAATGGACATACCATTCATCCTCACCGCCTCCACTGAAAGATAACTCCTGTTGAATGTGGTCCCCCTACTTAAACCAATTATTTTATCAAAAGGAAGTCAATAAAATTTAAGGTTTATAGAATACTTCTAGAACCAATTCTACAAGCTAGGTTTTCAAACCTGTCTAAAAGAATGTATATCTATCTTTGAGCTGGAATATTTCTCCAAAACCTACAGATGACAACTCAGGTGAGTACCTTTGGTGAGATACACGGTTGAGAACATAATGAAGGAGTGGAAAATGCAAATCACCTTTAAGACATCATCGTGGGTTGTCCTTGAGTTGATCAGAAGCAGAGGAACATTGCATCCATACTTGGAATTTAGCGACTACAAAGAATTGAAAATGTTGAACTAGTCAGCTCCATTAAGCTAGAACAACAGTATATACAACAAAAGTACTACCAACCAACCTGAATTTGGTTAACAGTTAAGTCCAGAGATGTTGACCCGTTTTTAACTTCAATCAAAGACCTGTGCAAAGGAATGGGAATTGCGCAAATTCAACAAAATGTCCAAATGTTTCTATAACAAGAATGCCTTGCACATTAAAGACCAAAAGTGAAGACAGCACAACCTCGTTTCAAATTAAAAATGGAGAATTCTTAAATTCTTCTAGAAGTATAACGGTTCACTAAAAGGATAAGTAGTAACAAATCCTATATTTATTCAAAATAAGTATATTCCACATGCAAATGCCCAGTTTAATAACAAAAATTATTCATTCAAAACACTCCCAGCACAAAATTTTGAAGGCAGGAAGGCACATCATCAATATGTTAGAAGCAGATCACACCTTCTATATCAGACAAAGGATTATATTTAATCCATTTACATGAAAGAGCAGAACATATATATACAACAGAAAGTGCATTCAATTAAGTAGAGGCATATATATACATCTATATATATTGGAGTCATCAACAAATTCATTTTTTATTGAAAGAAAAAGAGAATCAAATTTCCAGATGTAAAATTAATGCTTACTTGGGACCGTTGAAACCCATATTTTTTCCCAAAGCTCCATTGAACTTCACCACAACAAGCTTGTCTAAAAGCTGCTTCATGTCTGCAATATCTGCTTCAGGGCAGAAAGAACATAAACAAATTGTACATGTTATACAAGCTGAAGATGGCAAACTCCAATGTCCTGCTATAATTTTGTGGCTGCTATAGCTGGAATAAAATAAATTAACAAGTAAATGAATAAAGACTAAACATTACCCCCAGAAAGAGGTGCTAAGCTATCATAGGGAATGACAAGCACTTCATTTGCACTTTCCACCTTGCTCTCACTAGTGCTCTCTTCAATTTGCTTAACTTCTTCCCTTCAATCAAGAATCAAATTTCAAGTAAACCAACAATTGGAAACACTACCAATATAGAAACAAAGAACAGAAGACACAGTGCAACACCAAGCTCCGAGCACTCATATCAAATACACAAACATCACAGCAAGAATTCCAAAAACATAGGAAATAAACCTATTGCTCTGCATAATTATCAGAAGCAAACCTCATAAATTAGAATCCAGAACGAAAATTCTCCCTATACTAATATCCTCAACCAAGTTCTAATTAAGGAAGGATTTACTTAGTAATAGCTCTTAATTCTATCTTAGATATATCAGGAAAAGTATAACTCATGATCCACAACTCAAAATCACTCTTAAATCCGTCATCACAAATATCCTATATATTACTAACAACAAACTTAGTTCATTCTTCTCTAGTTAAATCAATAAAATCAGTATAAAAAAAATCTATCTAAGCACAATGCATTCAAATTTCGATACCTAGAAAAAAGAGAAAATTCCATACCTACTTGTAGCCTTCCTGCCAATCCTCTTTTCTCCCTCTTTTCTCTTCTTCTCCAACATTAAACACTTAGTAATCATATTACAAACCAAATAAACAAACTGAACAGAATCATTAGCCGGTATTGGATAAGTAACCTTCTTATAAAACTCCCACGGCATACTCGAATCAACCAACCCAACTATCGGAATCCCCAACCTTTCCGCTTCCGACAAAATCGAACTTTTCCTCTCAGTATCAAAAACCACAACACAATCAGGCAACCTAGTCGGCCCAAAAACTAGTTTCTTATTCCTAGACCGAAACTTCTTAGGACTGAAACTGTTGGTCAAAAATCCACGCATCTTCCAAAGGTTGCTTACCCTTTCAGGATTGAAGGTTGTCACTTTCAAGGTCATCTCGTCGATTATGGTTTGGAAAAGCGGGTTGGTGTTGATGAAGAGGAAAGAGGAAGATGGGTCACGTGAGAGGCAGGTGATGAAGTTGAGAGCATTGCGGAGGCAGATTAGGGTCTTGTCAGAATCAAGGATGGCCTGGTTGTTTCGGATTCCGTAGGTAAATTGTTTGAAATGATGGGTTACTGTTTGTCGGCTGATGTGGGAATTTGTAGTTAAGAGTTTCTGGATTACAACTGAATGGATCGTCATTTTTTCGAAAGGGAAAAGTTTTCGGGAAAACTCGAAGTTTAACGGTGAATTGATTCTACTCAAAAAGTTAGTAATGAATCATTTTTTGTTTCCAGGGAAGTTGGGAGCTTAGGGTTTATGAGGTTTTGCACATGGCGGATTACCGATTTCAGGAAATGGCGGACTCCTGGATATTTGGATTGCATCGAGTCGGGTTACCGAATTTCTTTTATGGTTGAATTTAATTTTGTTTGTGTACTTTTCCTTTCCTTATAAGATGCTCAGTTAAACTAATAAAATATAACAAATTAGCAATTACTATTATATTTTAAGGAAAATTATTTTTACTACTTAAGTTTTATCAATTTTTTTTTAAAAAAAATTAAATTTGAATTTCATAAATTATTTACTCTTTGTATTTATTTTTTATTTTTCTGTCGAGGAATTAATTGTAAATATAACTGTTTCTAAATAAAAGGTTCAATTTCAATATTTATTTACCTTTTTATTTTAAACATTTACATTGAATTTCTACCAATATTACAATATTATCAATAGTAAGAATATGCAAGGTTTATTACAAACATGATACAACAGTCACATGACATAAAAGTGAAGGTTAATGTTTAATATCAATAATTCATATTCACCATTAATCATGAATTTTAAGTGTATTTTACCTGCTTTAAATTATAAACCCAAATTAATATTATTCAAACCCAATGAAATTAAAAATTTTTAAAAAGACATTATTATTTTATAACACTAAAGATAACTAAAGTATTAAATTTAAACTTGAATCCTACGCGTCTCCCACCAGGAATTGAACTCTCCTGCTTCTTTAGCCTGTTGCTGCCTCTTCTCTTCTCAGACCAAAATACCGCTGATAGTTTCCCCATTTTCTTTTCCTTCTTGTGCGAATACTTTTGATCAATAAGCCCTGCATCCTCGCCTTTCATGATTAGGGAGATGGCAGCAGATGGAGTGTTGCAGAGTAGCCATGTTTCATGTTCTGGCGTCGTCCCGGCCATTGAGAACGTGGTATCATCCGTCAACCTCGGTTGCTTGCTGGACCTCAAAGCCATTGCCCTTCGTGCTCGAAATACTGAATACAACCCCGAAAGGTTTGCCGCATTGACGATGCGGATAAGGGAATCCCGAACCACTGCACTTATATTCTCCTCTGGGAAGATGGTCTGCACTGGAGCCAAAACTGAGCAACAATCCCGCCTGGCGGCCCGCAAGTATGGTCGGATCATTCAAAAGCTTGGTTTTGATGTCAAGTTCAAGGATTTCCGGATTCAGAACATCGTTGCTTCTTGTGATCTTCCATTTTCCGTCAACCTTACACATCTGGGGAATTCTCATTACAAGACTTCAGTATACGAGCCAGAATTGTTTCCGGGATTGATTTATCGGATGAAACAATCCAGAGTTATGATTAAGATATTTTCTTCTGGAAAGATCGTTATCGCGGGAACTCATGATAGAAACGAGATTTTCAAAGCTTTGGATAACATATATCCAATTCTTATGTCTTTCAGAGTACACAAGTGAGATTCTTGAAGAAGACTCAAAAAGATCTGAGAGTAAATATATTATCAATTCTTTTTTTTTTTTTTGTGAGTGAGCTAATTGTACATATCCAGATTATTCTTGTATCTAAATAAAAATTTAATTTCAATACAATTTGCTTTTTATTTTAATTATTTACTGTGTTTATATGAATATATCCATTAGAAAATAACTAGTATAATAAATAATCCAACAAGCTTTTAAAATTAAAAAATTATCATTATAAATTTACTAATGGAAACACTTCATTTGACTTTCTCAACAAGTTTAGAAACAAAAACTATTCCTTTGCAAATTTTGTGCCTCCATGATATAACTGTGTGTTAAGATTACAGAATTAACTGCCGTTGAGATACACTAAGCAGTAAAACACTAACAGCAACCGAATGCTTCAGATGGATGTTACAAAGTCCTTGCAATCTTAACCCGAATTTGATGACCAGAAGATACTCATAAGAACATATACCAACCCTGTGAATATAAAAACACCCCTGATAAATACATAACCAATGCTGTTCCCTAATCAATAATTTTACAAAACCAGCACCTTCCACAATGAAGCAACAAGCATAGCTCTGTTGCCCCATCAGCACTGCTTATGTCGAGCCATGATCAGAACCATGTGAAGGAGCAATCTCCTCAGGAGTAGCTGCATTGCGCAAAACTCTCCCCATCTGAATCGCAACAGAAGGACGTTCCTCTTGAGCAGCAGCCTCAGTAGCAGCTCTTAAGCCTTTCTTTTTCTTCACCTTTTGTGCCCAACCAACAAGGCCTACTTGCACATGCTCATCAAATATAGCCTTCTTGAATGAGCTTCCCATCTTCAATTCAATAAATATAAATGTGAATTGGAGATCCAGCTTATGAATTCAAGTTTATAGTTATAAGAAACTCAACTGACCTGTGTAACAATGGCATAAAGTGGCAGGGTGCTATAACTACAGAGCACCTGAATGAAAACCCTGCAAAAACCAACAGAAATAACAACGCCATATAGTAACAACGAACATACAATAATCTTGATAGAATAGCAAAAATTTTAAAACCAACCAAGATCTAACATAAAGGGAATGGTCACCGGTTCTTACCCTATAACAAGCCTAGGAATGATATAACGAACTTGACCCATTATGCAGGAGTCGAACCCAAATTGAACCTACAGATGATGAAAAAAGTATCATTATGTCATCCTTATCTGTGGTGCATATGGCAAAATAGTGACCTAAATTATAAGCTTACCCATATCCAGAAGAAAAATGCAATCTCAAAGGCATTTTGGAAGAGGATGAAATGGATCAAGAAGAGGACAATGTGAGGCTTATTAAACCAAAAGTGATCATCTGATGGCTTCACCACTAATTCCCCTTCAATGGCTTCATGTTTCTCAGCAACCTCATGCGCCAACTGGATAATCACATGCTCGAGCTTGGTGCCAACAGCAAGTAGAAGCTGGAAAATAAAAAAATAAGCGGAAAAACAGAATTTAAAAATGAACTTCTATACAATTAAAGTTCTATATTGGGAGGACATGACCTTTTTAATGTCAATGAATTTCTCCCGTTACCATGAGTGTCATTGCTTTTCCATGTTTTTTTTGTTTGTTTGATAGGAGTGTAACTGTCATTGTTGTCAGTGTTGACTTGACATGTAGAATGATGTTCTAACCATCCCATTAATCAGTTTTTCAAAAGAAAAAAAAAACCTAATATGGAGCAGGTTATTTGATTAACGTATAGTCTATTCAATGATCTCTTCAATTGGTATTGATTCACAAAGATTAATTCTACTTTGTGTAGGTAGATATGTGTTTGTTTTTGTGCATGCGTAGAGGTGTGTGTAAGAAATTGTATTAAAACTACTCACAATGAAAGGAATGAATGCTATCCAGAAATATGTATGCCAGCCTGCAGAAAAAAAATAATAATAAAATGTCATCATTATATATGTATGTCATCATTAGACTGTAATCTCACAAAAGCATCTATCACATGCCACAGAAGCAAAAAACATTGGTTCATATGTGTAATCAATACTTTCCATTCATTACATTTGTATGCATTAAAAACATGACCTAAAATCTAGAGCAGGGAAAAATTGATAATAGAATAATGACACTCTAGTTTTAACACCAGAACACAGTCCTAAGTTACCACCAATGGAATCCCACATTATATTGTTACAAGTACTATGAATAGGCATAAAATATGCATCCATTCTTTGAACTTCAAAAGAAACTTTAATCAGAAAAATAGCTTTTTTGACAAGACTGTGAACATAATTGAACATCGAAACATGATAATGCTAACAGCGTAAGGCATCAAGATGTAGTTAATTGCTAATAATCAATGGTACTACATACCATTAACATTCAGCAACAAGAAGATGACCACAAATACCCAGAGATACCAACTGCAAACAAGCAAATTAAACTATAAATCAACACAAATTACTAAGTAAACATGATTTAATACCAAAACATACCTATTTGATATGTGCAAGGAAGAAACCATATGACACTTAGATCATCACAAATATACTCTCAAATATCACTTGCCTTATACCAACAACTTGCTTGAAATCATCTTCTAAGGCTCGTATCATGTACTTGTGAAAATTAAACTTGGGATTCCCGCTGCAATGGGTCTGCAATACAAATAATAAATATTAGGTAATGGGCTATAACAAGGTATGACATCACAACCATAAGAAAGTTCTGCAATCAACCACTTTTACAAGCTAACTTACCATGATGAAACCTAGCCTTAGTGTCACATAATCTGATTTGGTCACAGATGCATAGAATTGCTTAAAAAACGAATGCTGTAAGAAAACAAAGGGAAAGTGATGAAGGATATCAGAGCCATGATTAGCAAAAGCTTACAAACTTCTGCATCCAAAAAAGTGTTTGAGGTTCAATTTTTCTTCCTATTATAAAAGAAAAGTGAGACCAGGGATATCAAAACATGACACACGTAAAAACTCTTGTTCTTTGAAGGTAACTAAACAGGGCAGGGGGAAAGATATTCATTGTAAGCAGAAACAGAACCAATTTAATTATGCCCCTCACTTTCTATTCCCCATCTTAGGAGGCACAGCATCATTTTTTATTATACTACAGTAATTTCTTCCATTTTGTCCAACACCAAGTTAGAAAAATCCTTGGGGAAAAATTGATCCTTCCCTTGACAACTAAAAATCAGACAATGGGACGATCAAACAAAACTTATCAACCACAAGAGGCAGAATGAATGCAAGCATATGCTCAGACACATTGTGTGACAAAGAATATCAGATTCCCAACAATGAAAAATAAAAAATAAAAGCATGCCTAGGCCCAATTGGTATTTAACAAAAAATTCTGTTTTAAGATCACCAAGACAAAATTGCAACTCCACCCACAAAATCAAAACCAAGGCCATAGACACACATGGGCAAATTCCTCGTATAGAAAGAAATTTCAAGGTCTACCTTTCTCTTAAATGCATATGTCATTCCAATTCTCACATATGACAGGAAGGGGTAAGCAAGTGGCGGAAATTCAGAGGTGACCTCTTTTCCAAGTTAAATGGTTGCAGATGTAAATGAAAAAAAAGATTGTATCAGAAATGAAATAGCAGCTTACCAACCACCCTAGCACAATAGAATCTTTACCGATACCCAGAAAATGGTCTTTGATAAAAGTATGCTGACGGACATGAGTGACTTTTTTCTTCAACACTGCACTAACACAGTACATAGATTAGAAGCACCAAAGACCTAGCAGACCACCGTAGAGGGAATTTAATAAGAAAATAATTCACTCATTTTTTTTTTCATTTTTTTGGCACAGGGAGAGGGGGTGGGGATAAATCACTCAGCCAATTCACTTTCCTAATGGCAATACTTCTACCAGCAGTGACCAAGATTCTGAATGCGTATGTCCATCTATCCCCCAAATAAGGAAAAGATAACATGGGAAATAGTGAGCATTTGGATTGGTATTAATCCTTACTTTGCTCTGAATCATAATTCTCTTTTGCAATTGAATCTTCCCAATGTTTCCATTGACGTATCTACATCAACAAACAAATTATTGCCTTTTTATGAGAAGCTGAGAAGTAAATGTATTGTAGAGGAAAACAACTGCAGCACAAATAGAAAAAGCTGAAGAACTAAGCAAATGAAACAAATTGGACAGCTTACCCTTAGCCCACCAAAAGAAACTGTGAGAACACAAAATGTCACATGGACAATGGCCAGGACGAAGATGAAAATATGCAGATGATGTAGCGCTTCAACAGACAACAAGGGTACCTTGTTCTGAAACACAAAAACATGGAAATAATAAAAGCACTTTAATGGGAGTGTCTGTCTTTTGTAATATAAAAAATGAGCCAGAACCTGTAGTGCTGTATTCAATAATATACAAGGGATCCATTTGGCATCCTAGATACATTCGCTACACTGTTCATGTTTCAGTTTTTCCCATCAAAACTATAGTAATACTCTCATCAGGATTTCATTTCTAACCATGACAAAATATACAATAATTCCTTGTTTTCCCTTATTAAATGTGTAAAGCAACAAATATTCACAATAAAGCACAAATAACAGTAAAAGCCGTTGATTTTGTGATTGGTAATTATGTCACCTTCTCACCACAGTATCCCATCTGGGAAGCACTAGATGTTTCAGCCAGTAGGCGCCTGGTGCCACCAGACAGAGTAAAAGCAAAATACTTCTGAAAATGTGATGTTGTGGCAGTACTATTGGAGTGCTCTGCTGTTTCTTTATTGCCTTCAATTTTACAAGGAAGCATGCTTGTTACTGCTTCCTTTGATATGCAAATTTTAGAAATTGCACTCTGAAATACTGTCAACAACAGTGATATAAACCCCAACAGCATCAACTCTGCCAAAACAAATTCCCCCATTTCAAGTTTACAATTTGGAAAATAGCAAAAGAATTTCCCAACAACACCACCTAGAAACCCATTCTTTATATATAAATTTCAAATGGGTATGCAATTTTCATATCCTTTGATATCTAATCAAGAAAAACGCAGTAACTTTCTTTTTCTTTAACCTGTCAAATGATCATCTTTTCCGCAGTCTAACTCCTTCTACCAGAAAGAGATAAAGAAAAAGAACTTCCTCTATAAATCAAAAAATGCAATTTACCCTTTTTAACTTTCCCATTTAGGAAACTGTAGATGGATGGACAAAGAAAAAAGATTTCCTTTTTGAAAATGCAGAATGTGAAAAACAAAAACAAAAAGCCTTCCCTTTAACACTTGCAACCGAATTTATTTTTCTATATAAACAAAATTTAACATAAAAAATGAAAAAGAAAGAGAAAAAGGAAATGGGTTACCTTCTTTAACTTTCAAAAGAGCCTCAAAGAGTGGTTTCTGTTGTTTCTTCTTCAAAACATTCCCAAGATAATGAAGCAAACGCTCCATAGCCAAGGAAATGGCAACAATCACTGTGCAAACTCCTGCTAAAACCCATGTCGGTGTATACTCTAACGATGCCCCTTCTCCTCCTCCACTCATTTCTCTCCAAAGTTTCTTCCTTTACCTTCTTCTCTTCTCTTCTCTTCTCTTCTCAAAGTGTCACTATTATCGGTTTGGTTCTCACTTCCTAGGAAAGGGCACCCAAAGGCTCTCAATCTTCTTAGGTATTTAATTATCTACCCGTTTTTATAATATGCAAACAAGAAAAATGTTGGTCTTCTTTTATGAGAAACAGAGATATTATTAACTGTTGGCTTTTGAAAGAGAGAGTTTTCTGCTTTGTAGGGTCATGTATGGTTTCCTATTGGATGTGGAAGCATATGCGTGTGCATGTCAGTCCTCATGGGGAAATGGTTTACTTGCTCTGCTGTTATTATGAACTTGAATTCAGGTAAAAAGTGGGGGTTTTTTATTACAGAAAAACGAAAGTGGGGTATTTGTCTTTTTAATTTTTGTGTAGTTTTATTACAAGACAAGATAACAACACAGCGAGTCTGAGGTGTCTCAAAGAAAAACAAAAGAACCCACTAAAAGGACAGAAGAGGCCAAGGGTTTGGTTCACTGAGGTATGGTATAGTATAGGTTGGGAGGCTAAAGGGTCTTTTTCTTTGTTGTTTTTTTCTTTTTATGGAGGAGGTTTAGATCTTAAACATATGACAAATGGGATTGGGTTTTGTTTTGACTTTTGATTTTAAGTGCTTTTTGTTTTTTGTGATTCCATTTCTTTGAATTATGATAACACAAATGTAAGAAAATGAAGTCATGACTAACCATTTTGTTTGATTGTGGGACAATGGGACCATTTACAAACACTATGAATTAGTAAATGAAAACACTTTATTATTCTTAATCCCCCAACCTCTGACCCCCCATGGACCATAGTTTTAGAGCTTGAACACAACATAAATAAATAAAAGGAAAACATAAAGTGAAAATGACTTAACAACAAGGTGCACATTATCTTTTCTTTCACCTTAATGAAAAATGAAAGCAAAGAAAGAAGTTTCTAATAAAATGAAACAGAAAAAGGAAAAAAGCTTTTATTTTTTTAATGAAACAAGATTGCACATTTCTTTTCTTTTACATTATTTAGTTGGTTGGTGGAAATTGGTGGTGGTGGGATTTAGATCACCCAACTTTCCTAAGAAAAGCCTTGAGAATATGAGAAGGCAAGGGACAGGCTTTACACCCAAGGCCAAAGGTGAAGGCTTGGTCTGCTGTCTTTCTTTTTTTCTAATTAAAGGGGTGTTTGGAGCAAATCCCAGGATGCAAATGATGCTATATAACAACATACACTTGTTCTTTCTTCTATTTTCTCCCTTCTTTTGTCTTTTTGCTTTGGAATATTTCTTGCTTTTATAATATAATATAATTAGTTTTTAACTGTACTAATCTTGACTTTAAGAATGTGTGAACTGTGAAGATGCCAGATTCCACATGTAATAATAGAAAATTTTGTGCTTTCCCTTCTCCTCCCTCTGTTCACAAATCTTTTGACTACAACAAAGCACCTTTTAACATTTATTTTTTAGTTTCAATGTCAATAACATGCATAGTCATCCTTTCTGCTTACCATTACTATTTATTTATCTGATTCAAAAAAAATCCAAAATTAAATTATTTTTTTTATAAGTAAAAATATTCATTCATTGTTGTATCAAATATTTAAGATACCAGTTACATTTACCTTTATAAATAATCAAGTATTCATCCAGCATTTGATGTTTGCCTTTTCATTCAACCATTTATTTATTTATTTTATATTAAATAATCTCACATCCTAATCATACCCTTGTCTCTATTGGAGTCCATTCCAACATTTCCTTTTTAACACAACATGTGTCCCATGCATATGTAATTTGATTTATGATAAATTATTTTTCTTGAGATCTATATAATTTTTTTAATTATACACTTATCTGATGGTTTTAAGAAGTAAACTTAAGAATTTGACCCTATCAAACACTATATTATTTTAACAAGATAGGTATAAGTTTTTCCAAATGTAAAAGAGTTAAAAAAAAAAGCATATTTTTAAGATAATTTAATAAAAAATAATTGACCCAAATAAAATAATATTATGAATAATTGTTTCCATGGTGCATTCAATGTGACCACATGCAATACATCATGATTTAAAATAGAGAACTAAGGTTTTGCACATGATGCTACCAACCAATATGTCATTTGAAATGTGAGAAAAACAAAAATTCAATAATAAATAAAAATATATATATGGCATTTCCATGTCTGTAAAGACAAATTTGAAATGAAAATGAATTATTATTAATTCATAAAGGAATAATAATAATAATAAATGATAATTAGAATTGATTTTTTTATTATTTTACTTTTTCTTTTACCTGTTCTTTGAAGGCAAACAATAATCAAATTGGCTGTAAAGGGAAATTGAAGGTCAAACAATAGAACCAACTAATATAGAGCAATGGGGCCCTAGGATTTTGACTTATATTGGTGAAAGAGTAAGGACGGAATCTAAGGCTTTTAATCTATAACCACCTATTGATTATTAACTTACCTACTTTGAAAGATGTTATTCATCCCATAGTTATAAGTTTTAGTATGTGAAAATAAATTATTAAACTTTTGATATGATGTTATCACAATCACAAATTATTAATATTTAAGAAATTTTAAATAAGTTATTATCTTTTTATTACACTCAATCAAATTCAAATATTTTTATCTTACATCAAATAAATTTTTATAATTAATAATTGATTAATATTGTTAGTAAAAACATCACTTATCGTTTTTATTATTATGTGTAGTTAACGTGTAATGTTGGCATATCGTAATGGATGGTGACACTATTGATACGACAGAATGACATGATCATATAATAATTTTCATAATCTATGTTAATAATGTTTTAACTAATAACAGTTAATTATAAAATTTTATTTTATTTAAAATAAAAATAAAAAAACTTGATTAAATCAATTAAAAAATAAAAATTTGTATAAAATTTCTTGAAATAGTTTAAAAACTTCTTAAAGAATTAAATCAAAATTAAAATTTATTATCCATAATAAAAAAAATAGATAATTGTTTGGAAAGATTCCTTAAAATTGTCTCTTACATGTTATTATTGTGATTCCAACTTCATCTGATTCCGGAGTGATTTTTGGGAGCCAACATTGACAATTAATTTTAATTGTCAATTGAAAAAAAATAACAGAATAATGGATTTTAAGCAAAGCTTTGTTTTTTATTTGGTGGAAGATTTCAAGCAAAGCTACTCCTACCTAATATCAATATCAAGATAAAGAGGTTTTGGTCTAATATTATATAAAATATTCAATCAGCTGCTCATAGATAGTTTATTAAGTTGGTTCAGTGTGGCTTTTATTTATTTATTTCAAATTGTTATTCTTCTTCTTCTTTCTATCTAATAATAAATGAACTCCATGTTAAATTTTAAAAATTAAAGAGATTTTATTGATTTGTAGCAAGCATCAAGCTTCGAGAGTGAAAGAGACAATAACTATTAAAACTTCAAACTACCAATACGAAAGGCAAGCCTTCTATCAAGAAATTGTGTCACGTTTTATACCAATTTGTGCAAGGTATTGAGCAAGTATTGTGTCACATTTTACACCAATTTGTGCAAAGCATTGGTCAAAGCTTTGATTGATCTCCAAATTTTATCTCATAAAGGAGACCTCACCAATTGAAAATGATGTAAACCATAAATGCTTGAAGTGAATTTTAAATATCCAATCTCATTTTAATATACAATCCATGTGAGATTCATAACTCTCCACTAGAACCATGACATTATTTTTATTGTCAGATCAACGATTCCCCACGTCCAGACCGTGACATATTGCCTAGTCAAAATAATTCCTGTCTCATAGCAGTTTTAAGGAATTTCATGGTGCCCTCTAGTTTATGGTGACTTAGTTCCGACCTGAGAACTTCTGCCCTACCATCTCCCTTAACTGCATGACTCAAAACACAGCATCCCAGTGCACCCAAATAACCCAGAGACGTGTGCGTGCACATGCAGACAGATAGACAGACAGACAGACAGAGATTTTCGATTATTGTCGACAAATCAGTTTTGCAAGATGATTTCCTTTAATTTTTTTTTTTTGGGAAAAAGAAGGTATATACAATATTCGGCTTTACAATTCTCTTCCTGTCAGTTCCGACCAATTTGAAACTCTCATGTTGAGACCTGGGACTAACCACTCTAAAAACAGCATCTTTCCCAGCCACCCTAATGCAAAGACAGGCTAGACAAAATTTTGGAAGAACATCCCCCAAAAGGAAGGAAAAGGAGTACAAATATATTGAAAAAATGAAGCTACACCTAAAATTTTGCCAAAACTGGGCTCCTAAATTTGGATTATATACACTTTGTACAGACGAGCAGCTGGCTTCAACCAGTTTGCTTCAATATGAACTGGACTTGATCGAGCTCTGGCGCACCATGATCCTAAAACTCCACTGGTGGACCAAGAATATAATCTTTCAACCCATTACGGCACCCAATTAAGTTCAGGCCATTGCGCAGCTTGAGTTCAGCCATTAAGTTTTGCTAAGAACTGGCTTAAATTGTATTCTTCGGTGTACTGCGACTGATCCCAAAGCTCCTCCAATCCACCAAGGATGGCTTTTAACCCCTTCCCTGTACCCATTAATTTTGGGTCTCCATCTATGCTGCTCTCTGAACGTTTCGAAGCAATTGCTCCCTGCAAGTCAAATACATGCATATCTGTAACCTCAAAAGCATAAAATTTCGGTAGATTCCAGAAGATTTTATTTTATTCTACAATTTGATCTCTTAGAACTGATCTGCAACATTGGAAAACTTCAAAATCTAATTCCTATATGAGGCCACTATATTCAGACATGCATATTAAAGCACCAAAGAGTGGGGAAAAAAACCCTATAAAAGAACCAAAAATACTTGCAAATGTATCATTCCAATATCAAATGCAAAAAGTCCCGATAATAATACCTTTTTAGATGTTTCTGCTGAGGCAAATAGATCAAGCAACTGGTCAGTGTTCATGGTTTTCAAACTGGCATTCTCAGAATTGATAACAGCATTCGCAACTGATACTTTGAACCGTTGGAGGCTCATAACTTTCTCTTCTAGAGTGCCACGCATGATGAGACGGTGAACATTCACAACTTTCCGTTGGCCTAATCTGTGTGCCCTGTCCATTGCCTGAAAGTCCATACAAGAATATAAGTCATTAAAAGTCATTAATGAATATAAAAGAATACACTCCAGCCAAATAAGGGAAAAAGCATGATCCTTCCAATGAAGAGAGTAAGCTGCAAGCTTAAGTAAAATGTAAAAACAATTTAAGACAATAAAGATGCAGGAGAGTATGCATCAGTTCATATTGCCTGATAATTACATGGACAACAGATTATGAGAACAAAGAATATCTCATCTTTTGATGACCCTTGAAAGTATACTTATGGCATTTGATTCATGTAAAAATTTTGTGCATAAATCACCATTATTTCCAGGCCATAACTGAGACCTAGAGACAGATGAATGCCAAGAAACCTACTGCTGATACTATATGCAGGAATTTAACCTAACATTTACCAAGTTAAAGAAGATAAATTTGAAAATATTTATAACAGAACACAATGGAGGTAATTAATTTCACTGGATCATCAACACATGCATAGCAGATACAAATCTACGTAACATTACCTGATGATCACGCATGGGATTCCAATCATGTTCCATAAAAATGAGGGTATCGGCAGATGTCAAGTTCAGACCAAGCCCACCAACTGCAAAACAGATATATTAAATAAAACATTATAAAAAAAAATCACTCAGCAACAAGAAAAATCTTACCATGTGTTGTAAGCAAAAGGGCATCTATTGTTGGATCAGAATTGAAAGCTTTCACAATGTCAAAACGTTTTTCTGGTTCAACTGATCCATCCAGCCGTAGGTATGTGACACTGTTTGATGCAAAATTTAGAAATATATTAATGAAAGTTTATAGAATTGATGCAGAATTAGCACCAAATAATATGAAGGTAAAATAAAGCTTCAAGGCAGATGCAAGAGCATCAAAAGAGAAGAAGAAAATCAAAATAACTAATGTCTTAATATTGGTTTATTTTCATAGCATATTTTTAGACGCTTTACAAAGGCTAAAAGTTCTTTTTGCTGTCCCCAAGTTGTCAATTTAAACCTTCGCAATGCAAAGAACCATGATTTTCCGACTAGTTCTAAAAGAGCAAAGCAGCAATGACTAAACAATTACCCTATGAGAGTCTGACACTTGTTTGACCATTCAAGATATCCCTAATTGAATTCAGATTTTGAATAAAGCATTGTTAAATTGCAAAAGGAACATCAACCTGAAAAGAGAAGGGCGAAAATGTGGAGAATAAGCACGTTCTAAGGGACAAGAGATAAAATCAAAACCACAACTGGTCCAACAGATAGTTGCCTCACAACAGGTGCAAAGATCCATTATCTCTCCATGTATGTAACAAATGGCTATAAAACCAATTAAAACCACAAAAGACGAAGGAAAATCATGTTTTACTACAGTTTTTCAAATTTCCGACATCTATCACTCTTTGATACAGTAAGGCAATAAATTTAGAAAGTGCTATTAAGGTCAAAAAATTCTCCATCCTATGAAATGATGACTAGCTAAACGGCAGAAGAAAAAATAACCAATTGCCTTCAAGAATTACAACACAAGAACAAAATAGCCTGTGCACCTGACTACAGCACAGGATAAGACAACTCAGGTAACTATCCCCATTTCAGTTCACCCATTCAGGCCAAACAAGAAGGATAACAGTCACACCAGTATGAAAGCTGTCTATCAACATTTTTTCACAGCTCATAGAGATCTAACTGTTACAACATCATGAACCCAGAGAAACAGGTCTATAGAGTGCTCAGATGAATGGGAAGGAGGAGAACATCGTTCCTTTCTTTCTCTTTTGGCCAAGGATAATATTGTCCTTGACACTTTCATAATTCTTTCCATGATTTCATTAATTGAAAGGAGAGGGAAACAATATGAGAGTTACGATCCAAAAGTATAAAAGAGTGCAAAAATTATATAAACATTAACCAAGTACAACATCAAAGTCAGCAAATCAATAAATATTATATCATTAACCACCAATAAAATTACTGTCCACATATGGTACCTTAAAGGTGTCGTGAGGAGTAAGGACACATGGAACAAGCCAAAAGAAATAGGTCCAGATAGTGAAAAATTATACCTTCCAATAATAACTAAATACTGTGCATTTTGCAAGTGCAAGTCAAACAAAATGAAACACCAAAAAGGAGCCAATCTTTAAGGCCTTGAGCGCTTCATGAAGAATGGCGAAAATAAAAAAATCTGATAAAGATTTCTTCAGTTATGCAAAATTAATAAAATAAAAGAAGAAGAAAAATTTTCCTACACAATCAATAATTCTAGCATTCAGCTTAAAAAGAGTATCACAGAACTCACTTCTTCATGTGGGTCTGAAACAAGTCCTTTTCAATGATATCCAGTAAGGCCTGCATTGAAAACCAATTTTAAAGTGGTAATTCTGGAAAGAAACATACAAGCTCAAGTTATCTAGCAAAGGGCCAGAGAGATAGGTGGTCATTACTTTATGTTGAGCAAATATCAAAACCCTGTGCTGTCCAACAGTGACAGAGCCATCAGAAGCAGAAGTATCCACACCAATTCCACATTCTTCCAGAATTTCCTGAAGGGCAACTAATTTGGGAGAGTGGTGGAGTTTATGAAGTTCAGAAATGATATCTGAACTTGCAGAGAAGAGCTCTGACAACTGCAGTGCGAGAGACTCAGGAACCTTTTCACCAACGACAAGTAAGGGATGGCTACAAAGTTTTAACAAGTATTGCAGCGCCTAAACATAACAACAAGAACATTCATTCAGCCCATAGAAACTCCATGAATAGGGGTAAAAAGAAAATAAAGAGGAATGAAACGAAAAGAATCACTTCACCTGAAATACATGTGTAGATGCTTTTGGTGAAGCAATATTTCCTCCTGCAACCGCTGACTCATCATGCTTTACCATGCTTGAAATTTCATGTTTTACATGTGAACCAGAAAACTGTTCATAAAGCTTTAATTGGACAGGGCTAAGGTCACAGAATCTGTCCTGAATGATTTTCTCTGGCAAGTCAGACAAGACCTCATCCTTTGTTCGCCGAAGTAGGAAGGGCATGACCTGCTTGTGCAGCGCTTCCATAGCAAGTGCCCCCGCTTCAGCATCCTTCGCCGAACATTTAGGATCTCTAGCAGCCAGCAGTGGCTTCCCATAAGTGGCTTGGAACTGCGAAAATGAAATCAAATCAACAGTGTTTGATACATTGAAGAAAAATAACAGACAATAGTTTTGTAGCAAGAAGCACCACAAATAATCAACTTGTTAAAATCATAAAACTGACAAGCAGGATTTTCCACATAATTCAATGATCAATCTGCCAAGAAATATAAAATACAGTAAATCAGGAAATCAGCAATATGGTCACTTCGAACCACACTTGGTAGAAATCAACATCCATCACTATGTTTGACTAAGTTGTAGTTCATATATTTGTTGTGCTGATATGCGCATCACTGCAGAGTGAACATCAGTAACGCACTCTGATATTACCAATATTCACCGCTTCATAGCAATTAGGGGCGGTTTGGTTTAGAGAATATTTGATTCCCTCGGTAATCTATGCAATATCGAGGGATTCCCATGTTTGGTTTGCACATGCATAAAAAATAACATCAGAACAACTCATGCCTGATTCTCAGTTTATATTTTGCCCCAAATAACCCAACAATGGCCTTTGGAGGAAGCCAGCTGAATATACATAAACAATAAGCAGCTTTTTCATGAGAATCAAAAACAAGAAATCAAAAAATAAATACCTGTCTCTCTGTTCCAAGAAATCCTGGCATTAGAAAGTCAAAAAGGGACCACAGATCCATGATGTTGTTCTGCCATAAAAAAAAAGATGAAACTTTCTCAGGAAAATGAACAATCCTAATATATACAAGTAAATAGACTTCAACTTTACCTGGATCGGTGTTCCACTTAGTATTAACCGATGCTGGGCTTTCAGCTGCTTTACTGCCAATGTTATTTTAGATTTAGCATTTTTTATGATATGTCCTTCATCTAAAATACAGTAGTTCCAGAGAAACTGTCCAAGATAATCAGCATCCTTGCGCACCACATCATAAGATGTTATGATTACATTATGCCTATCAAACTGTTCTCTCAAAGCAATGCGGTCCTGAGCAGAACCAACATATTGAAGGGTGGATATTAACGAAGCATCAATATATTTCTCTATTTCAAAAGCCCAGTGTCCAACAAGGGTTGATGGGCAAACAATTAAGGATGAACGAGATTCCTCAATGTTATTTGAAGCATGGCACTCTGCAATGTCAGATGCCACAATTGCTGATGCTTGAAGCGTTTTCCCAAGCCCCATATCATCACACAGGATCCCATGAAGCTTGAAACGTTTTAAAAAGGCCAACCAGTTTATACCTTCTTGTTGATATCTGAAGGCACAAAGCAAGCAATGGAAAGACTTTAGACAAAAAGAAAAGAAAACTGCTCTAGACTGACTACTGAAACCACTAAACCTGTTTCATGATGCATTGAATTTGCAAACTAATATTCAGCGGACAGTGACTTAAACCTTTAAAACCTTAGATTAACTGCATTAAATCTCGCCCCCGCATAACAAAAAAATAATACATGCCAGGTGATTCAAGGAGCATTGATCAAAAGTTATATAGCCAGTTTAGAGAAGAAAACAAGCAAAGATAAAAGAACAGATAACAGAATATCTGTAGATCCACTTAGACTCCAAATAATTGGAAACACATAAAATACCAGCCATGTCAATCTCAAACCCAATCTACTTCTCTATAGAGAAAAAAACCAAACATGTTCAAATATTGTTCACAAATCTTCCAAAGATATTTCAAGTGAAATCACCAAAGAGTGTTTTTAGGTCTCCAAGAAGAAATCTATGAGGCTAGTTTTCGAGCTTCCCCAACATAGTTTCAAACTGCACTCCATACCTCTAGTTAGTCTTCAAAAATAAAGGGGAAGACAGGGTAACTAACAGGAGCCTCGCATAAATTTTGGAGGCCCACTGCAATAAATCAAAACCAACTTAATCTCCACATTTCAAAACGAAAGTATAAACATAAATCATGTCCCCAGTATAGCATGAAGGAAAGTTAGAGTCCTAAAGTGAATTTTCCTACTGAAATGTCAAGAGGACATACAGAAGCCATAATAACACAGTATTAAACAATGCATTCCTTCACAACCAGGAAAGCTAAAGTAGGCCAAAAGCATACAGAAGAAAGTAGCAAAGTTAGTATATAAACAGACAAATGTACCTCCTCAATGTCACTTTTAATTCAGTGCAAAGCTTGTAATCATCAATATGGGAATTATCAAGCAGTTGTTCCAAAAATTGTGCGTCATCTGCATTTCTAGATAAACCTTCACTCAGTCCAATGGGTGGAGGAAGACCTCTTGCCAATGGAAGAAGAGGTACCAGGGCAGCAAAACTGCGTGTCACACTCTGTCTGACAGAGTGATCACAATCACTCATACACCTAAGAAGAGGGACAACTAACAAAGGTGCATATGGAACCAGCTCCACACCCAATCCCTGAACGAGCAAACTAATAAGCATGCCAGCACCTTGTCTGGCATGGACAGATGTCACATCCCCCAACATAGGAATGGCATTTTCAATCACAGCCCGCATTACATCTACAGTCATAGACTTAGCCATTGTAGTAGTACACCTGGAAGCAGCCAATCTAACTGCCACATGGGAATGACTAACACATTTAAAAATGCAAGGAAGAAGCATTAGCAGTTTCAGCTTTAAGGTTTCATCCAGCATTGGAGCAATAGAACGTACCACCTGCCAAAAATAAATCATAGTTACAAATCAGGACAAATAATTAAATAAAAAACAAAAACACATGAATTAAACACCTCTAAAAGACTATTCAAGTCAAGGACTAAATGCTAAAAGATGGCAAGGAGGAAAAATTATTCTACCAAGATTAGGACATAACGCCAATAATGAAACAGGTAGAAAAGAAGCATGAATGATGCCAGAAGCATAAGAATCCATCGTATAAGCACAGTGACAGGGAGTTGCAAGCATGGACAGGTTGTTAATTTCCATGTTACAAAGCATACACCAGGTACAATCAGCATTTCAATAAACAGGCGTTCCAGAAACAAGAATCATTTTCCATTATTCTGTACCACATAACAGGATCTTAACAGAGGTCCACAATTTACCATTTAACAATGTGTGGAAAGAGAGGTTCAAAGTTATTATGATGATTAAGCAATTTTTCAACAATCAACATTAACCAGTTAAAAATGTCCATGACACTTAAGCCATTTTTCCAGAGAATTGGAAGCCTAGAACTCTGATCTAACCCTTCCTATCTTGAAGATATAAACCTAGGAAACTCACATTACCATGAAATCAAAGAACGCAAAACAACTGATTATCATTAGATCCAGAACCCCTTGATTACGATCACATCTGCTGCCACCACTTAGGCTGCTCTATCCTAGATGTATTTCACAAATTAAAGCACTTTTTTGGTTGAATTTTGCTAAAACCGAAGCTCCAAGATAATGCAATAAAAATTTTAAGTGCCAATTAGATTTTGCCTTCAAAGGTAAAAGGGCAGACATATTACACAACCAAAAAAATTGAGCACCAGAATCCAAAATCCTCTGCTGTAAATCACTATCATAAAAGAATATTTAGCTTATGCACTTCAGGATTCAACCTACTTTGAGCCAAGTTTACTATCAATTTCCGCCGATGAGTTAACTAATTCTAAATATCCCAAGATTGCTACAAAAAAGCAAGTTACAAAATCCAATCAACCAGTTATCAAATGTCTTGGCAAAATAATAGTGTAGTGAATTTAAAAATTAGACCTGAAACCAGCTCATAATAGTATCATTTTATGTTAGATGTGATTCCTAAAATGATGAACTTTTTATCATGACTAGAGATATTGTGACATCTGCCCTGTGAGACTAAACATTTTGTAATACTCAGGGAAGGTTTATAACAATCACAATTCTAATAGGCCATATTGACATTGTCAACCATAATAACAGGGAGAAAAATTCAGAATAAGAAAATAATGAAATCAAGGAAGACAATGACCTGGATATTATTAATCAAGATCTGAGGATCTTTAATTGATTCAACAGCCTGCACAACTTGCTGTTCATCCGCAGGACTGGCAGGTATAAGAACTTCAGTACCGCAGTCCCAAAGTTTGGGAAGCTTTTCAAATAATGTAGGACCAAACTTCTCACACAAATGCCTCAATGCTAGTTCTGAACCTCTTCTGCTGATAAAACCTTCAACTCTTGATCGGTCTTCACCACCAGCTAACATGTGAACCTTTGATTTGTGTTTTCCTGTGCTAGTCCCAAAGGAGAGGAAATCCTGGTCATCAATAATCTCCATGGTACTGATAACTGCAGCTTGAGGAGTCTCAGAAGGATCCATGCAAGTCAGACTACAAATATTCTTGATTAACTTGTCATTTGGACTAGGCTTACGAGCAATGCAATGATAAATAAGCTCTGCAAGAGCCTCAGCTGCCTTCTGTTGCAGTATTTCCTCCTAAACAATGTATTAGAAATGAATCAGAACCACATCAGATTTGTGTTGTTTGTCACACAAAGAATTCACCTTCAAAATACTACCTGTTCTCTTCTAATCGAAGCCATTAAAGGCAAAATGATTGGATTAAGTCGTGCAGGAAGCTCTGACATCCAGACAACAGCAGCAGCAACTAAGGAGGACACTGTAACATGCAAATTACTCTGCAGGAAAAGAAAAAGAGCATGTATGACAGAGAGGAAATTTGACTGACTATTTTCTTTTGAAAAATATAAGGTTTAAAATAACAGATCACGTGTAAAATTGAATTATAAACAAACCTGAACACATTTTAAATAGCCTGAAGTTGTTATAAGACGTTGTTTTGCTGACTCTGTATCATCAATGTTCCTTTGCATTGATTCATTCCCAGTATTATCATTGCATAATGATGGCACTTTTGAAGCAAAACTGATTGCATCATCTACAGTTAAGCTTTCAACATTAATTTTCACAATTGACAATATATCTACAAACATGCCAGATGACTCAACAACATGTAGCAATTGACTAGCTTCATTGCGCATTTTAGCAAATGTCCTTGACAGCTCAGCATAAGGTAGAACTGAATCTTTTGTAGGGAATGCAGGATCAGAACAAGCTAGCAAATCCAATAACCATTTTCTAAGATGATCTGGAAAAGCTTGCATAATTTCCCGGTTTCCTGATGGCTCCCTGCTTCTGAGCTCTTTAAACCAAGAAATAAGAACCATAGATGCCACCTGATAAAAAGGAAAAACTAATTGATAAAGAATAAAAAATATCACAGAGCCCTGTTTCCTGTTGAGCATAATTAGTAGCTACCTGTCTTTGAACTCCTGACAGGGAGGTAAGTGCACTCCACAGTGGATCAACTACATACTGCAAAGAATTTGCCTGCAACTTGGATGCAAATATTCCCAACGCTGAAGCTGTAATAACTCTGGTATTGGTTACTGACATTTCTGCATCAGCACCAACAATTATCTTCACTAAGTTAGTAGAAGCATCCCCATTCTTTTCCTGAGAAACAGCCCCTCTCACAGAATCCAAGCCAACAGTTCCATAAGATTCATTCTCAAGCTTCACAGCTTTCATTTTTGCTGCTGCCTTATAGTGACTCTTTCGAGGAGGAGCAACTGGCCAAAACATTTTTGAAGCATCTAGAGCCGAACCATAAGAAGTAGTTGCAAGTTCAATCCAAGAGGAAACAAATGACACTGCAGCAACTTCCAAGTCCCCAACTGGGCACTAAAATCATTTAGAAAAAGAGTGTTTTAGAACAAGACAGACATAAAGCAAGTTTAGAAAGTAAAACATGGAGATATAAGGATATTGATTAAATTCTCTAGTCTAAATATTAATAAGAAAGTAAATAGGATGTAGACAGAAGGACACCAGGAAAGAAAAACGTTGTCTACATCTTAAAAACACAGACAAAATCAAAAAGGAAAGTAAGAAGAAAATAAAACAATTAGGAAGATTAACTCCTAAAAGTCAAATACTAGTTGAAGTGTGAAACATTTATATCAACATTAAGTGACTAAAAAGCAAGTGGTTCCTTTGATTCCACAATCTCGATAGAAGAAGAATGGTAGCACTCTCCAAGTGATCCAACTCACAAGCATAACTCAGCACCTTCTATGCCAATATTAATTGCTTCCCAAATCAGAAAATAGTAACTCCATGTTATAACAGCCTGGTCATGCTTCATGCACATTCAACACTAAAGCAATAAATTTGATTAAAATGTTTTATCTTGGCTGTCTATGACTGTGAGAAAGGGGGTAAGGGGAGGGGGCAACTTCAAGTCTAGGATACCTGAATAAAATTTGAGGTTTAACACAAAAATCAAGCAAAATTCAGAATTCCTACCACAGCAACAAAAAACATATCAAAAACAAAACTGCCAGCAAACAAATAATAATTCAATTACACTCTTGCAGTCAGTTCACAAAAAGGGAAATAGATGAAAGGCACTTCTATATTGTTGAAGCAAATGACAAAGCTTAGCCACCATAAGTGGAATACTAGCTCTGATGGTTGTTTTGACAATAGAGTCTAACTTCAAAACTACTATAGCAACAGGACAAAAATTTCTAAAAATTTATGTTGATGTCTATACAGATAAAAAGCCCCCATAAGCTGCTCAAGGTATGCTCAGAATCTAAAGATATAAATATATTTTATGTATGATGTATTTCCTCTTCTGATCGGCATTTTCTATGATGTTTGCATAATGTAAGTTTCATGAAACTGGTTTAGTCTATGAAAATTTTCTGCAGGATAAAATTTGCATGACAAAAATGCTAGAAAAGCAACAAAAGAAAGTTTCCCTGAAGCCTTGAATGTGATTGTTAAGTCCTTAATCCTCCAACCAAACTCAGCAATTAACAACATCACGCCTTATTGATAGCATGGTTTAATTAGACAAGGCCCTTGTCAAAATCCTAATCATGATATACAGGTGATTGCTGTCCCATTCAATCCAGCTCTTCTTACTGAATTTTTATTATCTGATTTTATAATAACTTCACTAGAAGCATGATATAGAGGCACCTTTACTGAAGAATATCATCAATATATATGATGTTCAAAAAAGAATTACAGAAGGTGTGACTCGTCCTTTTAGTCTTTGAGACATATGAAAAGTTTCACATCTCTTTCTCGTGTCCAAAGAATGACAATTCTTCTAATTCCTAGGATAAAATATTTAAATGTTCATCAAACCTTTTATAGACTGATAAAATACTCTCTTTTTTTGAAAAGCGATAAAATACATATATAAGAGATCAAGAAACCAACTACCCCTGGGAAAATGTTTTTCGCGGAAACATTATCAATAAAAATGACATGTTTTCTGTTGATAGGATGCTCTACTCATAATGATTTAGAAAATGCCCCAAGTGTTTGTCTGAGTTAAAGATATTTTCTTTTTGGTTGACCTTTAACAAAGACAGAAATCAGGAAAGAAAAGGCATAAGACATAGACGTATACAGTCATATACAAAGTGAAATCTTCATAATTTTCCAAGCAAAGATATTTCTAGTTGACAATAACATTTATTGGCACTCAATAACTGCCTAATGAGCTGTTTTATGATAAATCCCATCTCATCACAAATGATGAGTAATTCAAAGATGTAGAGATCCACAACCATTTGATATGTTTTCAGTTGTAAAATAGGTACTCGATTATATAGAAACAGGCTTCAGTCCAATCTCTTTTGAAAGAGTCAACAATAGGACCCTTTCCCATGGTTTGACTCATTGCCTTTGTGATGTTCAATTAGACACTACACTTCCTTTGTGCTCACAGTTTCATACTTCTCTATAAAACTTCAACTAAAATGTGTTCAATAAGGCTAAAATAGTGCCATTTTGAACCCCCCTAGACCCAGGAAATAAAAAAAAAAAAAGGAAACAGAAGCAAGTTCACCTAAGGTTAAAAAGAGAGTGCAAAGTTTCATAGTGTTTAGGTCAACAGAAACATTTTAACCTTCTGAATCAAAAGTAACAGAAAGAAAACAGTTTGACCTACTTTTTAACACCTTTTAATAGAATTTCCTTACGTGAGAACTAAATTTAAAACACAATATAACAAAAAGGTTGTCTATATGAAAATGGACCAAACAATAGGAATTACATCGGCAGTTGACCCTTTGAAGAATCCAGATAAAATAACGACACAGCAATGCAATAATGAGTACATGATACTGCAAAAAGTAAAGATCCATGCAAGATCTTGCTAAATCTAAGTCTTCTGGTACGTAGCATTTATACTTAATACGATTGGGATGAAAATTAGTAACTGCAGAATCAACTCCTTGTTCAAAAGAAGACAAACAAAGACAACTATCATACTGTAATCATTGATAAAGGGACAAAAACAGAGAAAATTATAAGAAAGCATGAAATCGCAACTTCTGACAAAATCATGCAAGATACCTGCACAAGCAACCTCCAAACCCTCTCAGAACACTGCAGAATTTCCTCATTGGATTCTAGCAGCAGGTTCTGGAATACAATCCTAAGGGTATCACCCAGAATAAAAGATGGCCAAAAGGAACCACCAGCTGGCTCAGAAATGCTCCTTTTATAACCAGCTTCGAGAAGCCTCTCCTGCAAAATGAAATTTTCAAATGAATCATCCCTCATATATTAATATTATATTAAATGGAAGAAAAGAACCTTGCAAGCAAATATGCATCCTTCAATTAGATACTCACAAGTCATGCCCAAACTAATTATCCTAATAACCCAAACATGCAGCCAGTTGGACAAAATAATAATATTAATAATAATAATAATAATATTGTAATTTGACAAAATTTATAAGTAACTATATTTATACACAAAAAACGAAACATTGTAGATAACCAGTTTACCAAAGTACGGATTGCCGAATGCCGGACTGATGAAATACTATGCCTCATAAAGGGCCATAAACGGGGTGCCAACATAGATAACATATAAGGATTTTCCTGCAAATCTTTCCCTTCTCCAACCTCATCAACATGAACTACTTCATTTAGATCAAAATTTTGCTTCTCTTTTTCTGTTGATGTCCCTAACATCTTAGGCATCATATCTTCTTGGGAGTAGATTTCTGCCAACAGGTTCATAACACTGCAAATAAAAATTTTCATGATGAGGATTACAACAGGGTTCCACCATCTTCATCACATTTTACTGCTTGATATAAACAACTATTAGAGCTCCATTGAAAATTTACTATCCAGCTAAGCAAGAACAGTTCCAAGGTTGTAGTTATTATTCATACTCATGTTAAACTATGTATCTTGTCAGAACTTTTATCTGGGGATAACAATAAGGAAGAAGTAGGGGGAGTGACATAGCAACAGCAACTATAAGTACTGCAAGAACGAAATAATACAAAAAGAAAATGACCAAACAGGCCTCATTTTCTCAATTGTGTTTAACCAAAACACATTCAAGTCAAGACAACAGGGAACATGCAAGTTCATGCTTTAAAAAAAAAAACAAAGCACAAGAAAAGTTCAAAAAATTGTAGTTAGTATTATTCATACTCATGTACTAAACTATGTATATTGTTAGAACTTTTAACAAGAGATAACAATAAGGGAGAGGCAGGGGCAGTGACATAGCAACAGAACCTACAATTACTGAAATAATAAAAATATTACCAAAAAAAGGGACCACACAGACCACATTTTCCCAATTGTGTTTAACTATTGAACATTCACAACAAAAGATACACAAGCTCGTGCTTAACAACAAAGAAAGAAAAGGGATGAGAGATATCCATCACAATAAATCTAAACATAGATTAGCGCACTTCACCATAAATGATAAATTGATATCAAAAGAACAAATAGGAAAAAAAAAAGAAAAGAAAAACCACAAATATACTAAAAACTTACATTACTAAATACCTATAAACTTACATATATGTACAACAAGAACAATTAAAAAGAAAGAAAAAGTTGCTTAAAATTAGTATAACCAATAGCCAAAATCACATTGTTGTTAACTGACACGCTCACATACAGTATTTGGTCAGATATTACATTTTTCAGTTTAAAAAATCCCAATTTTTTTCTTATAGCAAAACTGTTCAGATGTTTAGTAAGGCTGAAAATTTTGACTTCAAAACATCTGCAGTTGCAACAATTAAAGAAAAATGCAGGTCTGTCACCAGAATGCATACCAAAGAGGTCCTCCAATGGATCACAGTCACAAATGTTGACACATGCAATACCCTAGAAACATATTCCATATACGAGAATTGTATGCTAAAAACAATAAGTTACAAAGTGCTTAAAAAGTTCAAAATTTTGCAATATGTCATTACCAACAAAAAAGAAAGTGTTATCAGGGAGTGCAAAAAGCATAGATAATTAGTGCAACAACTTGGAAGTCGTCATGTTAGGTCTTTCTCTCCCCAAATTAAAAAAGAATAGCAGCAATTTTTTCCCCTTACAAATAAATCCAACCAGTATTTTTGACCCATAAGTGAAATTTCAGCTAAGAAAGTTCTCTTTGTTTCATTTCCAATTACTTATTACATGTACTGACTACTGAGAACATAAGACTGCTAAACAATCTAATTAGCCTTTGATTCCCAAAAATGAAACCCTATATGAAAATAACAAATTTAAGAGTAATAATTTGAAGAAAAACAGAGCAAACAAAATCCCAACAAGGGGTAGAATACAAGGAAATGCAAATAGATTACCTGCTAGTGGATGGACTAAGGTCATCCAAATCAAGCAGTATATCCCAAAGCAGCATAACAATTGAATGCAATGATTGACCTTTTAAAGCAACGATAGCAGCTGCAGCAGGTATTAGAGCATCTGCAGCCACAGCCCGCACATCATCATCAGGATCCTCCAATCCAGCCTTACAAGCAGGGAGAACACGGCCAAGCAAATTATGCAGCATCTCCTAGCATACAAAAGGAAATTGAGAAAGCATAGTTAAAGAAAATCCAACTTGAATAAATGATTCTCACATAGCAAGTATAATGGCATATCAGAAGGGAGACTGCAGGTGGATTGGGTATTAAAATTATAGTAATCCTGAACTAAAAACAGCCTAACAGATCAGACAGCACCGCTTCCAAAGGCTAATTATGATAGAGAAACAGTTATGAGCCTTTCTCTATTAAAAGATCAGACAGCACTGCCTCCAAAGGCTAATTATGATCAAGAAAACAGTTATGAGCCAGAAAACCTAAATTTTTCGTACTTAAAACAGGGACAAAACCATACCTGTCGAACAGCAACCAAGTACTTAATACCCAGAAGGCTTCCATGACGAATTTCCCATTCTGGCCTACGCTGAACAAAGAAGGAAGACAGAATAAAACCACCATACCAACAGTAAGAATGGAGCACCAGCTAACCTTCATTGTAATTGAGGATTTTAAGCATGAACTTATAAGGTATTTACCTGCATTTGCAGCAAGACATTCAATGTTTCATGAACTAATGAAGGGTGCATGTACTTAAAAGTAGCACCTAGTGCTTGGGCACAAGTTTCTCGTACTGGAGCAACAACCTGATCAGATACATAGTCTCCAAAACTGCAGAATAGAAATATAAAACAGCCAATATAAGGATCTAAGTTTTAAACAAGTATTTATTTCTCATCAACTATTACCAAAAAAAAGGTATTAAATAAATAGCAATTTCTCAAACTAAAATCAATTAGTATTTTCCACAATATAACTAGCACCAAAGACGAAGCACAGCATACCGGTCTAGTGATAGTACACACAAGAAACGAATTGCACAATCCTGAAGAAATTCACAATTCTTAAGCCAAGAATGCCTGGCTAGTTTAACTAAGTTTATGAGCTCGCAATTTTCAGGGAGATTTTTTAGTACATCCGAATTTGCAAATGCACCCTTATCTTCAGAGTAACTCTTTGGCTCTTCCACTTCAACAGCTTCTTTAGACTGGTACATCAGATCATCATGACAAAATTCAGTCTCTATTTTCATAGAACTAATATCATGTTGACCATTAAACTGCCCAGAGGGCAAAGTGGATGTGGCATCCTCAATCTTCACCGCAACATTGAAGCCACCATGCTGGCCAGCAGAGATCATTTTGTCCATCACTGGAAATGATCCATCTTCAAACTTTGGCCTCTTCAGATTTACCTCTAATTCATCTGGTGAAACTTGCATATTCAAATCAATTTCTCTCTCTCTCTTCATTTTACTTGAATAATCTAAATCTTTTACTTCAAGATACAGTGCATCATCTGAGTTCAAGTCGGGCAAATATACTCCAGCAGAAGCACCATGATGCGTTAAAATTTCTCTCGAAGCCATAACACTGCCATGGCGAATCTCCCAAACTGATAACACATAGTCGAAGGAACCTATCATCAGATCAGATATGGAAAAAAAGAATGACAAAACTCTTGATGTTTATACAAATGCTTACCAGGATCAAACATATCAACAATAAGTTGTTCAACAAAACTACGGAAAGGCCAGCGGCCATCTCCATCATGATCAGAGCTATCTTCATCAGTAACAGCATCAAACTGCACAGAAAGTCAACATCATTTGCTACACCTGATAGCTTAAAATGGAAAAAGTAAAATAAAAGAAGAAAATAATGCATCTTTTTGAAATGCAAACAACCAAGAAAGTAACTCCTGAGTCCTATTTGTAACCAACAAATTAAATTTGCCAGCCTTTTGATAGAGAAATTTCAAACTTTTTACACAAAACAATGATGGTTTGTAATATCAACTACCTGATATTTTTCAGGTTTTAATTGAGATAGTTAAGGTTTTTGATCCTCATTGACATTTTGTTTTGGTAGCTGCAACAGGGTGCAGCATATGGCCCCATTCACCATGTCACATTTCTCCAAAATATCAACATGTTCAAAAATTCACACAACTCCATCGACAAAAGAATACCATTTTGACTAGACTCAAAACAGTGAACCACCCACCACTTTAACTTTAAAGGTATTTCCAGGACATTCACATGAATTTACAGACATGTTGCTTGCACTCAGTAAGTTTTAAGAGTTAAATACATCATCAAAGGAAGTACAAATTCTTTAGCACATGGTTTGAAGCATGTAAAAGGCTCAAAAATCTGAAAAATAGACAAATGCACAAAATAAAGATGCACACAGAAGTTGTAGAACAATGAGTTTAAAAATGGATGAGTATTAGCGCTGGTGAGATCAGAGAGAAGGAGAAAAATTTAAGTTTCCCAGCGTAAGATCATGGCTACCCTTCAAAACTTTAAAATTCATTTTAAAAGAGTTTAAATTTAAAATTATTAATCTAAGTAAATGGTTTATTAGTTCTATAACTTTTGGTTAAGTAAAAAAATGTAAAATTGCAATATCTCTTCATGAAATTTCACTTGCAATCTATTAGGTTGTCTTCTTTAGGTCACTATCAGAAATTTATGTCTATAAAAAGTCAAAATCCTAATTGCAGTAGCAAAAAGCATCAGTACAACAGATTATTCAAATTCCATTCCTTTTCCTTTTATTCATTTACTTTGAATTCTCAAGAATTTGAGGAATGATATAATTCCGTATCCATGCCAAAATAAATAAATATATACATAAAAACCAGTAGATCCTGAAACAGAATTTCAATTGAATCAAACAACAGATAAATTTTAAATCCAAAGTTTATGGTAAGTGCTCAAAACAAATGCTGAAAGGAAAGCAAAAAAAATTCCATAATCTTTATTATATAAGAAAAGGTGTAGAACCCAATTGATATGAAGTTAAGCGTTCAACACATAAAAACAAAACATTGGATCTGACAGTTAAGAGGGGAACTCAGACCAAAACCATGAACTTGCAAATTAATTAGGAAGTGAGATATTCTAATACCTTACTCGAACCTACTGGATCAGGACATGTTCCCCTTGGAGTTGATGCATTGTGAGCTGGTGATACCTCTGTATCTCCATCATCAGACCAGCCTTTTGCTTGATCTTTTGAATTTATTTTAGCTTTTCGCTTTAACATATTCAACTCTCTTGCGCTTGGCCTTCTTTTAGACGTAACATTAGGTACCATACGTGAAACAAATTGCCGGATGTTATGTATAGATGGCGACGTGTAAAATCTATTATCTAACCCATTTCCATGGTGATTTAATTTGTCAACAATAAGGTCCTCATCTCTAATCATATCACTGACATCCATGAACTGCTCACACATATCCAAACCTGCACAGAACAACCAAGTCTAGCGTAAGGAAACCATGTGCCTCGAAAGTATTACAAACCATAGACAGTAGCCTCTAATAAATTCGATAGAGACAACTGCAGATAAAGAAATCATACATGCAAACCCATTTGACCATTTCTGAAGTAAAATACAACTCTATAACAAAGGGTAAACACCTGCAAATAACAAAGAGGAAGAAACCAAACAAATAAAAATGCATGTAAAATTATCCAATTCTACAGCAGAAAGTCCCATTCTTTGCACCACCAACCTTCCTTAATCCATTAATTTGTTGGAATAAGAAGATAATTACAACAAAGGCTCAGTTTATGTCCATATCTTCAAAATGCTTTGTGCATAAAATGTTTTATTTACATTTTTTATTGTTTGCCAAGTAAAAATATTAATGAATTGAAGCTATTCTTACAGTCAATGGCAACCTTCATTGGATTACAAAAAAGCTTATCAATGGTCCCCATGAACTAGTTAATGCTAAGCAGTTTTGACTAAGGACCAAGTGAAACAGCTTCACCTAAATTCACAACTTCCTAAGTTAAAGAACCCATTTACATCTCCAAGATCCAAGAATGTAACCTAATCACCACTTCCTGCTTAGATTAAGCAAAGCTAGAATAACTAGCCATATATAGAAATTACATACACAATACATCCTCCCAATCAACTCCATCCAATGTATTGTGCCAAGGAAGTTGACTGACATGTATGCCTATATTTCATACCTGATACCATACCATCAAAGAACCTCAGCCAAGATCGTATCAATTCAAAACCAGATCTCTTTAGGTTTTAAATATATGTAAATATTTATCTATAATATATATAAAAGCACAGATATGTGTTAAACTTTTAATTGATGCGAAAAGACATCTTTATTCATTTTATTTCTAAATTGCCATTCTTAAAAAAAATTAGTATAATTTTCAATTACAATAATAAATTAATAGTAGTAAAATTATCTAATGTATTTATAAGAATTCCAGTCCATTGAATCACTTTCGTTTGGCAAATGATTTACTTAGCTCAGAATTATTTGTTCATTATATTTCTAAACTGTATTTATATATAATTATTAATTAAAAATAATAAAATACAAGAATTGATGTGCAATGCAGATGACAACAAATACAAATATGTTTGCTTATATGTATTTATATGGAATGCATATAACAAAGATAAACAGAATCAAATTAAAATAACCCCTCTTCTACCATCCTCTTCAACATTCACCAATGAATAGATGAATAGAGACAACAAAAAAAAGCAATTGTCTCAACCAAATGGACTTTTTCCAAAAATTTTAAACTCCTGGCAACATTGTCAGCTCCCAAGCTAATAAGGGAATCATCTAAATAAGAAGTGAAGAACTTTCTCATCATTTTTTTTTTTTGACAAAATATAAACACTTCTTCCAGTAACAAACCAAATGTCAAACACAATAAATATCTGAAAGTATCAACTCAAAATAAACCCAAAAAAGAAAAAAAAACTCTAACCTAAACGTCGTTTTAAATTCTGTTTCTGGCGAGCCAATCTCTCTTTAGGGTTCTTTGAGTTATCATTTGCAATATCATACTCCTGCATTGAATATGGGTTCAAATGTTTTCATTAGCACAAGATAATATTATAAATTAAAATAAACACGTAAAGGACCAATGCTGCAACAAATCAAACAAAATGATTACAACTTACAAGGCATCCATTACAAATCAAAGTGAAGCACAGAGTGCCAAAAGAAGGAATAGGGGGATGTGAAGAAGTGTAGAAACCACCATTAGTATCTAGTGCCCAGTCACCCCAGCTTCTTTGCACCGGAAAGCTGAAGCTAGACCAACAGCAGTTTGGGAAACAGCTTTTAAATTTTTTTAGATGTTAAAAGCAAAATTCTAGAGGCCAGCAGTTGAAGCTCTAATTTGGGGCTTCAAAAAATGCATTAAAAAGCTAATCAGAAGCAGATTTAATTCATCAGTTATTTCAAATAATTTTCATCTAATAGAGTTTTTCAAATAGTTGTGCTTCAGCAGCAACTTTTAGTCCAGCTTCAATCAACCAAACAAGCTACTGACACTGACTTGCAAATGTAAACAATTATCACAATAAGAAGAACACAAATGTCAAGATAGCATGTAATGCAAGCACCACAATGGTGCTAGTTGTCATAACCAGGATAACTACCCAAAATAAACTTTAAAAAAGGAAGGCAATAAGAAGAAAGGCAATTGCAATTCCCTTTAATTCTATTCCAGCTCTTCTTTTATTATGATTTTTAGTGCATCACTCTTATGAGATAACCCAGAAAACTATCTGCATACATCCCATAGTATTACATAACTCAAGTTTACACACGTCTCTAAATTCAAAGAAAACATCCACAGGAAAACTCATACAAGAGGGGCGGGAAAAGGGTTCTTGATCTTGTTCACTAAAAGCAAAGCCATTTTAAAACACCAGACAGGGATGAATAAAAAAAAATAGCAAAGCTACTTTGCAAGAACATTAAAGAAAGGAGTGCGAAAGAAAACCAAAGACAGAAAAAGAAAATTAAAAATGTAACATCAGCCAGAACAAAGCCAGGAGATTCTAACCCTTGACCATTTATCTCTAGAAATAGAAAGAATGGAAAGATACTGTATATTTCCTCAGAAACAAACAAAAGGAATGAAATAGAAACTTTCAGTACCACATGTGGATATTGTTCCCAGGGAAATAAAAAACTATAATAAAGAACACTACATGATACTTAGATTAAATCCTTGAACATAAACAGGAGATCATTTACCTGTCCACCTGACGCCATCAAAGCACCAAACTCCAACACCTTGTTGATGTCAAAACTGTTATAAAAAATTTTTCAAAGCAATATACGTCAGTAAAGAAAACAACTAGATATTGTTAGGAGAAACACATACTTAGAAAGATATGAACTGAAATCCATGATAAGTAAAATGTTTTCCCATTGAATAAAGATTTGGTGCAATCGATACTGCTAAAAGCTAATCTCAGAAACAACCTTCTAAAAGAAACACCTGATACAATCTTAGAATGTAAGTCAGGTGATGCCACCATATCTTCAACAGTGCCAGATATCCCAGACTCAGTGATCTTGGCTCCAACAGAAGACAGTAAATCAGCCAGAGAAGTGTGCTTAACATTTTGAGCAATAGCCCCTATGGCGTGAGCAGCAGCAACCCTTGTGTCCCAATTTTTACTACGAAGATACTGAGAAACCTAATTGCACAAAACAAAGGTGTTTAGGTAGATCATAAAATACAAAATATAACACCAACATACAACTAGCAAACCAACCCCTCAACAATAGTTAATAATAAAAAATTCATAACAACAACAACAAAGAGAAAAGGTAGAAACACATTACTAGAAAATATAAATTTCACACAAGAATTGAGTAATATAGTCCTAAGCAAATGCTTAAATCCATCCATATACTAACTAGCAAACCACAGAAAACTTGGGCAGGCCTCAAAATTTAACTCGATTGCACTGCTTTCTTCAAAACACAGGTCTGAGAAAATTCACCTTCCAAGCTAAATTCAAAGAAGAATCTTCAGTTACAGCTTCAATGACTTCTTCAGGTTGGAAAAAACTAATAATTTCATAGAATCTTGCAATGAAGCTATTTAAAATGTCTAATTTTTAAAAATTCAGAGTTTAAAAGAGCCAATCATGAAGTGGGCCAACATTCAGGGGTTAAAAAAAAGACAAAACATAGAGAGACAGAAAGTGGGGTCCAAAATCTATGACATTTAAGACAGTATTTTTATTTTTTTTCCTTAGAACAACAAGAACATCTAAGCATTTCCCATTAAAAGGATCAAATTCCACCATTAAGCCCTAAACATACAGAACCATATCCAAAGGCTATTAAACAGCTTAGGAAAAGAAGAACATTTAGAATAAACTCCTCATGATCCTAATTTTAGCAAGGTTCACCACCACACCCCTAAGAGACTTAGCATAAATAGACTTCAATCGCTTGCTACCACCTAAAAATCTTTAACTTCATAAACACCGCAAGCACACTGGCAAGTCTGGTGGCTTAACTATGCCAACTTCAGCTTATTTAATTATTTTTTCGGGGCAACTAATTACAGCATTGCATGGAATACAGCAATTCCAAATATCAACAATTTGCATTGTTCAAAAAGTTCTTTTTATTAAATGAAAAAATTCAATCTTGGCAATGTAGATATAAAATGCAGGTTTTTTCTCCTTCCTCTGAATAACATAAATTCTAAAAACTTCCAAAATTGGCAAAAAAATAATCATTAAAAAAATACACTCATTACAGTAAATTAATAGCTGAACAAAAAATCATGGAATGTAGCTTTTTTTTCTTCCACAATGTAACGTAAATTCCAAAATTGGCCAATAAAAGACACACTTATTACAATAAATTAATAGCAAAAAATACAGAAAATAATTAAAAATCAGAAATTCGAAATTAGTACCTTCTTGAGAAGAGAATTCAAGTCCTGCGGATGCGATTTGGCAATATCCCCAATCTGTCGCGCTGCGGTGAATCTCGTCGCTTGTGTTGAACCAGCTTTTTAACAAAATAAGTCAAAGAAACAAGAAAATGAAAGTAGAAAAAAATGCATTTCGAATTTTGCAAGTTTGAATCAGATCCAAATTAAAAAGAAATTGTATAAGAAAAAAAGGATACTATCCAACAAAGTGAGTAAACGATTGAGACGCGAAGACTGTTGCTGAGCCATATAGCTAAGACGGGCGTCGGATTACAATTCGTCACTAATTCGCCGGCATCGTCTTCGATCATTCAATTCGAAAAACATCAAAAAATCTTCGGCTTCACGAAGGAAAAAAGAGAAGCGAAGTGTTGGATTCGACGTCGTTTTTCTCGGCGGAATCTGTTTGGCTTTCGTTTTCCGGCTCTGGTTTTTTTCTCACTTTTAATTTTTATTTTGTCGATTCGAGATTCTGTGATAAACGAAAAGGGAATGGAAACACAGAGAGAGAGAGAGAGAGAGAGAGAGGGGAAGGGGCGGAGGATGGGAAAAGTTAGGGTTACCTGCGAAACGGCGGTGACGTTTTGGTGATTTTAAGGAAGAGGATGACGATGCTGTTTTTACCCCCTTTTTTTCGCTTTTTATTATTTTATATATTGTAATATATTGATCTGAAAATTAAAAATGAATTTTTTTAGTCATTTTAAATCTTTTTCTCATTTTTATGTTTTTAATTTATAATTTTTCATAAACTTATGTAATGAGAACACGATTTTTATTCTTTTTTTTTTTGGGAAAAGCAAAAATATATTTTAATTTGACTTGTTCATGGTAAACTTATTTCCGCGTTTTTTTCCTTTTTCTTTTTTTTAATTTCTTTTATTTGATTTGAATGCTTGCATTTTTCTCTCTCGAATTTTGATTAGTGTTCATTTTATTTTTTTGTATTATTTAATTTCAATATTCCCACATTAAAAAAATAAAAAAGTTGGATTGCAAATATTTTTGACGTTGGAGGGGCCAGGGCCTAGTTAGTTTGGGCGTGCAAGCACCAACTAAACTGCTGTCAATGGAGCCGCAGAGTATGATTTGTTTGGAGCCCATTCAGGCCCACAAAGCTAGGCCTGGACTAAAATCCTTCTAAGCTCAAACTTGGCTCCAATTATCTCCATTTTTCAATTGTTTTACTTGAGTTTTGTGACAAAATTACATATAATAATATTATTTATTATTATTATTATTATAAAAAAATTAATTAAAGATAATAATACGAGGATCATCTATTCATTTGAATAATTAAATGCGTTAGTATGTGATCTTATTTAATTATCATTCTTATTGTAATAATGAAGCATAATGTTTTTAAAAGTTCATAAATTATTAAAAAAAATTAAATAATTTTTTATTTTTTATTACATTCAAATAATTTTTTATAATTTTATTTTAAATTAAATAAATTTTTATGACTAATATTTTTTATTAATTATGATTAATTAAGATATCACTGTTCATTTTATATTGACCTAATATTGATAAAAAAAATAAAAAATATTATGTGACACATCATCATTATTTACTATAACATACCAATGACACATAATATAAATAATAAATAATATTTAATTAATTAATTCTCAATTATAAAAATATATTTAATATAAAATTTTGACTAAATATAATTAAAAAATAAAAAATTACTTACATTTTTTCAAATAATTTAAAAAAATTTATATATTATATCAGATAATTAAAATCAGATATACATTTACATTAAACTTTAAACAAATTAATTACATTATTATTGAAATCATATTATTGGCACATTTATCTATTATCTCAATATAATGGTGATATATAATAATTATATATTTATTTGCATAGTTAAATGAATTAGCATATGATTCAAATTTGAATTGATTTAATTTTTTTAATTGTGATATTATTTTTAAAAAATAATAATAATAATAATATACATTTACATTTAAATTAAATATTTTTAAAAAAAATAATTACATTTTTATCTATTGACGTCTGATGTTTGGTGATGTATTTAATCAATTGTCTTATTTGTATCATAAAATACCAGTCAATCAATATTTGATATTATTACGTCATAAAACATAAAAGGAAATTCAAACACTTGCGTCCTCCTCGAATCCTACGCCGCCATTGGTCCAACACCTCGGGCGTAAGGCGGGGGCCAATAGGCCACGTATAACGGCCCAACCCGACCGAACCTCCTTCCCTCCCTCTCCTACCAACTGGTCAAATACTCAAAATTTCAAAGCTGCAACCTTGTTTCTCCCCATTATCGTATTTGTTTTTCATTTCCTTTTATCTTTATCTTTAAACAGACACAAATCTTCTCCGAGAATTTTCCATGCACGTAAGCTCCTTGTCTTTTTTGTTGTTGTTGTTTTAATCCTCGTAACTGTTTTTTCTTGTCCTTTTTATCTCAACTGGGTTCTACTGTTTCAACCACCTTCTTTCTGTTTTTTTTTTTTTGTGTAAGACTATTTTATTTCATTCACATCATATCTCGGTTTGTTTTCTTCCGTGAATTTCTTTTGATGTGGGTTTTCTTTTGGTTGCAGGAAATGATCATCTTTTGGTGGCAAGTTCTTTGATCAAATGAGTCAAACTTGCTGAGGATCAGCTTCAAAGGTTAATTTTTGCCTTCAAAAACCTTTAGCTTTCTATGATTTTGTTTATTATCAAAACATCATTCGATATAATTCTTGTGAGATGCTTTCAAATTTTCTACTTTGTTTGAAGGGATCTTCATGATATCAGAAGTTGCAACTTTTCAGATTGAATTGAATAATTGAGGAGGTTGTAATCTTTCATATTTTGATAGGTTTCTAAAGCAACAGTAGCATCCCCTCTTCTTTTTTATGCTGATGTCAATCATAGACTTTCTGGCATGCTAAAGTTGGGAGGTAGAATCAAACAAATGGAGAACTCCAACTATATGAGATTACAGTTTATGTATTGAATAATGGAGGAGGGAATACACTTATACACGGCTCAAATTTCAAACTCTGCTTGGATATTAATTTTCTAGTTGCGTGTACCATGATGTGGAATTAAATTGAACGACACACACAAACTGAAAGATGAATTAGTTTCATAACTTTGTGAAGTAAAACGGAGTTTCGGATGTCTATTCCTGCATAAATCCCTGCACCATATGGTCTTTTTTCAAACGTTGTATTGCATGTTGGGACACAGAATTCCATGGTTTTTTTCTCATCATTAGTCTGTGGTATCTGCTATTAGAGTTTGGTGATTCTAATGATTGTTTTATTATGACATAGACAAGTCCTAGTTTTGAAATCCATAATGAATTCTTATATGTTTTGGGATTTGAAAGCTCTTTTAATGCCATATTCTACTAACTTGAAAATGGTGTAGGTTCCGTCCTGTCATTTCAACCTGCTCAACTTCGTTAACTTGGGAAAATGTCATTGCAACAATTGAAAGGAATTGCAAAAGAAAAGTCTTTGTTGCCTGAAGAACAACAAGCGAAGGTACTTTTTAATAGCTGAATCCTTGAAACAAGAAAGGTTTTTTTCTTTCTTTTGGTCAAACCAGAAGGTTATTTTGCCTCTCTTTAATCCACCAAATGGACTTTGGATTCAGAAGTGAATCATTGATTGATTAATTAGTGTCACTGGATGAGTAATCACTTTGTAACTCTTGCTTGTTCCTTTAGCAACTATTGATAAGAGAATGGAGGAAGGCTTCTATCTCTCTGTTGTTATAAGCATGGACTTGTCTTCTATGGAGCATCCAATTTGCAATTCCCAAGTGATAGAGAATTGTTATTAGCTTAAGTCATAGGTTCAGAATAGAAAGCAATGAGAAATTTTCTTCCTTATGTGGTATAAGTCATGAACTTGTGATCACTTCTCGTCACATGGAGGCTTATAAGCTTGCTGATGTCTACTCTATGATTTACTGCAGCAAGTGATAAGCTCTGCCTTAAAGGTTCTATAGCAGAGAAAATGAAAATTGGGTAAAACAAATTGTTATTCTGAAGAAAGAGGCGTAAAAAACTCAAAACAAAAGATTATCGAAATCAAGATATATTTATGTCTTTGTTAGTATAGATATCTCCCAAAGTGATTTCAATTGAACATCCAGAGTAGTACTTCTATGTAGGTGTGGCTATGCTAGGCCGTTGCCCTTAGTTGTCAAAAACAATTCAGTGTAAAATCAAAATGCATCTCATTTTGTGGAGGTGACAGAGCCTCAAAAGTCAACTTACAAGAATCTCTGAGCCTTCAGAGTTTCCATATACCAATTCCCCATGATGACAAGGTATAATTTGAAGAATTAAAATTTAGGTTATAAAATTGTAATTTTCAGTAGGAATGTAGAAAATGACATTTGTGATTGAATTGCAATATCATCTCTTGCCTCCAATCCAAATGCCAGATATTAGAACCCGTTTTCTTAGCATATAGAAAGCCAAAAGGATGTAACACTTAAGTCACTTAACTAATGTCATGTTATACTAGAACTAGTTTTCATGCATTTGTTATGTTTGGTTATGGGGTACAGGATTGTAATATGCAAACAAGACAAATATATCGATTATTATATAAGCCTTGTTCCACTGGATAATGATGTAAACATTGGGGACTGTATTTTATGAAAGATGTGAGTTGGAGTTGCATTTAGCAAGTTGCAGAGACAAGCTTAACTATATAGAAGAAGGAATAGAGTGGAATTCTCATTAACTTCTTCTCGGCTTTTGCATGTTTCTGTCAACCAAACCAGTGGACCGTAATTTTTCAAAAAATATGTTTTTAATCTTTTTTGTAATCCTAATAGCAAAAACATAATCTTACGGTGTGATCTTAATCTTTGTTTCCACTGAGGAGGTACTTTGCAAATATTTAATCTAATAAGAGTTTCTACTGAGAGGCTAAGTCAAATTCTCATAAACTGAATCGTCGAAGGTCCAACTAATTGACTCCCCTTCACTCCAGATTGATGATGTCAGGAAACTAATTGGCCCAATAGCTGACAAGCTGCCAGTCCTTTGTTCAGATGCATCAATATCAAGATATCTCAGAGCAAGGAACTGGAGTACAAAAAAGGCAAGCAAAATGTTAAAAGAAACATTGAAGTGGAGACTTCAATACAAACCAGAAAAGATCCGATGGGTATGCATTCTGTTCTTTCCAACTGAATTTTTTTGCATTGAATTTTAGATTTCTTAAGTATTCACAAATGCACACAATTCCGAAGAATAAACGGTGGAGAATTTACTAAGTTATTGTTAGTGATTATATGTGGTTTGCTTGAGCTGTTTGATTGCCTCACATTGGCTCTTTTGACAATTATTACTTTGCTACCGTATAAGGGATGCTGAGATGGTTTTTAACTCAACTTCCTATCCCTCTCTAGTTCTCATGATATGGATATTTTACTGCCTTTCCATGTTGAAATTATAGTATAATTTGTTTTGTTTCACAAATTAATATCTTTGGGAGTCTGATGTTTGACCATAATTAATGGATACCCGGGAGCTTGTGCTTCTTGGCAGCCCTACACTTCCCCACTTGGTTGTGAAGTTAGTAACAGGTGTAAGTTGCATTTATCAGTTCTTGCTGAGACTACGTTTTTGTTGTGTTATAGGAAGATATTGCTCATGAAGCTGAGACAGGAAAAATTTACAGAGCTAATTTCCGTGACAAACTTGGGAGGCCGGTTCTTGTAATGAGACCTGGTTTCCAGGTACCAGTTGCATGAATTATCTGGCTTTGCATATGTTACTATTCTAGTTTTCGTTATCATAATAATTATGATGTGTTTGGACAAGTTCACCTTTTCAGAATACAAACTCAACATCAGGGCAGATCAAATACTTGGTTTATTGCATGGAAAATGCCATAATGAATTTGACCCAAGATCAGGAGCAGATGGTTTGGCTTGTCGATTTCCAAAGGTGGGGTATGTCAAGCATAACTGTTAAGGTGACTCGGGAAACAGCTCATATCTTGCAGGACCACTATCCCGAGAGACTGGGCCTAGGAATCCTCTATAATCCCCCAAAAATATTTGAATCTTTCTGGACAGTATGTTATTACTTTCTTATCCTTCATTTAATCTTCTCAATTTGAGTTAGAATGTTGCCTTGACTAAGTAATTTTGATCAACTAGGTGACTTGATATGTATATTTTCTATAATCCTATATTAACCTTGTAAATGATATGGACACTAACATCCACACATGCATTTGTTCTTTTATATTTTCATACTCACATTTGTTTGTGGATACTGGTTTTGTGACACCTTAGCTAGACCATCCATGAGAGATGCCAGAGTACTAGCATAAACAAGATAATTTGCTAAGCCCTATTTTGGGTGCTATTATAACCCATTTAAATTTGTTAAATTCCAAAAAAGCAATAGATGTTGTAAATATGCCAAAATTTGTTGCTCCACAGTCTATTGTCTTTGTTCTTTATTCTCTCCCTAGTCTTAGGGATACTTATTTAAGGCCCTCCTATCAAGAAATGAAAGACAAGGATCTGCTTCAGATGTTGTAACATGTAGTCCTTTTGCTTTTCTACAGCTCATCGAATTTGGCATAATATATGCATTAAGTGGCTTATTTGAACTTCAATGAGAACTAAGAAACCTATGGTCTGTTTGTCTGTCATACAAGTTTTTTTTTTTTTGGGGTTTCGGTGGTTCCTTTTTGTCTCATCTTCACTATCTATGAACTTTGATATGCTCATTGTTTACATAGTGTTCATATGATTTTAATGGATTGAAACTTTTTGGCAGATAGTGAAGCCGTTCCTTGAGCCTAAGACATACAAGAAAGTGAAATTTGTCTATTCTGATGATCCAAAGAGCCAGAAAATTATTGGAGAAGTTTTTGATTTGGATAAGCTTGATGTTGCATTTGGTGGGAGAAACACTGCTGGATTTGATTATCAAGCATATGCCCAACAGATGAAGGAGGATGACATTAAAATGTCTAATTTCCTGGACTCTAGTTGTACATCTCCACCTTATCCATCAGCAGTTCTGTCCGAATCACATCAGTCAGAGTCGCTGTATTTAGACCACGGTTCTAATGGTTCAGATGAAGTTGGATTATCATCTGGTGATGAAGCAACTCCTTCAAATGTGGAGCGTGTTGATGAGAAGACACGAGAGCTGTCACTCGGATGCAAAGATGTCGCAGTGGGTGAAGTAGCAATAGCAAAACAAGTGCAATAAGCAAAGCTGCCATGGACCTAACCCGGAATTCTAGTTAATATCGTTCTTCTTTCAAATTTTGAGCAGTCAAATTTCAAATGCAGATGGTTGCCTGGATTCAATCTTTTATGCATCCAACTGAGTAATTGCATTAGACAGCTTAAGCTTTCATAGTTACATACAAACCTCAGCTGTGAAGGAAAATAGACTTTCACACCAATATCAATTGATTTCTGCAATGCAAGATTATTTTGTTTTGATGGGAATGACTCATGGATGCAGCCTCACCTTCTGTGTTCCATTTTTTCCCTTCCTCTTAGTAGTATTGAACAAAAGAGTCATCGTGCAAACTAAAGACTAAACTTCAGTGCTTGAAATTTCAAGTGCTTCAAGGCAAGAAAATGACAGTCAGAGGAAGCAAAAGTTTTTCTAAAGCTTGCTGACAAGCCAAAAGATCTCAAAGCAATATGTACTATGAATTTGCATTTTGGAAGAAAATTAACTCGAGAAAAGTTCTGCTAGAAAGTAGAAACAAAAAATAGGCCCCCCATTTATCTTTCTGTGCTTCTTTTGCACATGGCAGGTGCCCTTCTCTGCCCCATTTTTTATCATATTAGAAAAAAAAAAAAAAAAAAGAAAACCCAAAGTTTAAGTAAAGCTTTCGAGTGATGAGATTGTCAAGTAAAAAGTTATCAACTCCCTTGAGTATGTAATACAAGGCCATTTTCTTCCTTTTTCTTTACTAAGAGATATTTCAGTTTTACTACTTACAACTTTATTTAGTTTTTTTCTTCTTTTTTTTTTTGAGAAGTACAACTTCATTTAGTTTTAGAACCTGTTCTATCTTCTACGGTAAGAATGAGATTTTAGATGGGTGATACATGCATATTTTGTAAACTAAATGAGCTATAAGCTGTTGGTAAAGAACAATCATTGAAGCATTAAATAAGAATGATACTCTAAACCTATATGAATCCAACATAAGTATTAAAAATCTTACCGAAATCATCTCATAATCAAATATAGAGTACCTAAACCCTATATTATCGAATTGGATATCTATCCCTAACATTAAATAAAACTTAATTTTCTATGTACTTTCCCTCAATCAACAAAGACTTATGCATATTTCTTTTTCTTCACTTTTGCTCTAAAAAGTCTTTGAATCTTGCTTGATGTTCAATTGAATTAATTAATAGTAACATTCACAACTACACCCAAAAAAAGAATTGAAATTATATGTGAAACTCAAGGTAATATTTTTCAAATTAGATCATTTAATTCCACCATAAATCATGTCCCATTCCACCTTGTCTTCATCCTTAAGCTAATTTTAGTTAGCTAAATTGATTGTTACCAAATCTCACAATTGCTATTTCTTTGAACAATAAATCCCATAACCCATGTGTTCAAGATAACTACTTTGCAGTGATAATGATATAGGACCTAAATTGACTCCTTCCATTTGTATAATTAAATAAGTAAATGAAGTCTTTTTATTTTCTTTTCTACTTAACCAGTCAATAAATCAACATTAAATTTTGTCACTGTATTTTTTTTTATTTTGTTCATTTTTTAACATAAAAATAAAAAAATTGATGAAAATTTACCACTTTTATTAACATTATATTTTATGAAAAAAAAATGAGATTATGATCAAGTCATGCGATCATTACCACTGATCACTTAGATTTATTTCATTAATTTAATACCATTTCTTAATCTTAATTGACAAATTAAATAACTGAAGCATTTACATGGAATATAATTATATATATACATATATATACCTATATATATATATATATATATATATGATTGAGCAATCAATCAAGAGTTTCAAGGGATTGTATAAATTATAATTTATTTTAAGTTTTGAAAAAAATTCCTGTGTGATATCACAGAGAAGACTTCTTCAAAGGAGCTCATTCAATTTCAACCTCTCAACCACATAGTATCAATTATATACTTATCCAAATATTGAAACTCATAATTAAATTGATTCGTTTTGATTCCATAAGATGTATTTTCAAATATTTGGAAACATTTAATTTTCTTCTTCAACGGTGGGGAAGAAGCATCTGAATTTAAAATCAAATTTTTATTTTTAAGATTGCATTGAATATCTATTTAAAACAATTCAAATAAATTATCGCATCTAATTAATTTTTATATTTTTATTTTAGATCAAACAGATCTTTATAATTAATAGTTGACATAATGTTAACGTGAAATATGAAAATATCATGCGACCATGTAATCATACCATATAACTATATCGCACAACATGATATAAAAATAATAAATAATATTTTGATTAATAATAATTAATCAATCATAATTATAAAAGTATATTTGATTCGAAATAAAGTATAAAATTTAATTAAATATAAATAAATAAATTAATATTTTATAAATTTTTATAAATAATTTAGATATTTTTTTAAGTATTATCTCAAAAAAAATTTTAGCATGTCTATGTTACTTTGAGAGAAATTATTTTATTTGAAAAATAAAAATCGAACTTGATGTGTTGAATACATTTATTATTGAATTAAATATTTAAATAAAAAATATTAAAAATAGAAGAGTACAAGCTTTCCCCCAAAAACTGCTTCACAAACAATAAATCTATGGGAACAGAGGTCCAAACAGGCAAACTTTATGAAGAAAGCAAGCAAAGAATAAAATTCTCTTTACCAGATGTAGTAATCATCATGGCACAATCCACATTGCATTAAAGTAATTCATTTGGTCTTGTTTATACTTTTATAGGCTGGTGTTGCTAATAAAATACCAGTATAGTATTTATTTTTTAATGTGGTCACCAGCTATAAACTATGTTAATATAATATAAATATAATAATAACACTTACATTCTGAGTCATATGGTGAACAAATCATCATTAACAGATCTCCAATCAATGGCCAAAGTTAGTAGTATTTACATAACAAGTTAGACCAATAAATCATGATTACCATGTAACCTTACATCATTTATTGGAAGGATAAACCACCTTCAACCCTTTATTTTTTCCTTTTAAATTTAAAACTATATCATACTGGAATTTGGACTCTGATCTAATTAAAAATTCATGAGAATTAATTACAATTAATTAAAATGAGAGAGAAAAAAAATGGGGAAAGTAGTAACAAGAAAAAGGAACATAAGAAAAACAAAAGAAGAATATAATAGGAACTTTCTCCTTTCTTTTTCAATCTCTCTCTTTCTTTCTCCCCCTTTTGTGCCTCCCCATTTCCTCTATGTTTCTCTGTCTCTCTTAAAGCATAAGAATTGAATGGAGAAAAGAAACAAACCCATTACAACTTCATAGCTGTTGCTAAGCCAAAAAAGTAAGCAAAAAGAAGGAGGAACAACAGAGCAGAAAAGAGAAAAACAGAGGATTCCATTTTTGGTCTCTCTTTCTTTTTGATTCTTTTTAATTTTTGATCTCTCTGTATTTAACCCATTTTCAGAATTCTCTTCAGTTTTAATTTCCCAAGCTTCAAAGGCATCCAGGTTTCTGGACATTTCCAGGTATTGTTGAGTTTTTGATCTCTTGCTTGAAAGCTTTAATTTTGACGTGATAGGAAAATTTTCAGCTTTGCTTAAAAAATTCCTTCTTTTAAATTAAATTTCCTTCCTTTTTTGTTTATTTAGCAATTTCATCACTCAAAAACTCTTAAGTTTTTCTTTGCAGCTGTTGGGTTCTCTTCATTTGGTTGCTCTCTGTTTTATTTAATTATACTTCTAAGGTGAGTTTACAGTAAAATTTTGTGATAAATTTGTTTCCCTTGGATCCAATTAATTGTCTTGTTTTTAATTGGTTTCTTTTTTGTTTTATTGAAACAGATTGCAAAATTGAGAAGAAATAAATTTATATATAGAGAGAGAGGGAGATGGGGCCTGAGAGATTGGAATTTGGAGTTATTGTTAGGAAACTTATGGTGAAATCAGTTAAAACATGTTATAGATCGGTTTGGAATCATCCATTTTTGGTTGGTTTGGTTTGCTTTTTGATATTTTTGTATAGATCATTTCCTTTGTTGTTTTCTGTTTTGGTTACTGCATCTCCTGTTTTGGTTTGCACTGCTATTTTGCTTGGTACCCTTTTGAGTTTTGGGTCACCAAACATACCTGAAATCGATGAAAAGGAAGAAGAAGAGAAAGTTAGTCATGAGGTTTCATCATTGAAAACTAAGGTTACTAAGGATGATACTGTTCTTGAGAGAGATGTTGGTGATGATGATTTTGTTGTAGAAAGACATGTAGGGAAGAGGTGGGATATAGTAGAGAATGCGGACGAGAAAGTTAGTTTGGTTGATAATGAGGTCAGTGAAGTTGAGGAGGATGATGGTTCTGTTCGTTATAAGCCATTGGTTGACGAGGATTTGGATTCTAGGGATATTCATTGTGAGAATGGGGTGGTTGATGAAGTGGAGGGAACAATGAATGATACGTTGGTGGAGAAGAAGAGAGAAATTCAAGAGGAGATTCTAGGAAGTGAAGGTGTGTTGAGTGCAGGGGAGGCTGCAGAGGATCGACATCTTTTGGCAGATGAAGCAGGAGATAGAAATCTTAAAGTGGAGGATGGTAAACTCACAGCAGATTTCAGTGATATACCAAGGGGTGATGAATTGGATGCTTCTCTGGTGTCATCTTGGAAGCGTGTGGGGGATGATGAGGACGGTGATGATCATGATGATGATGATGATGATGATGAATCTATGGACTCTGGTTCTGATGGTGCTGAGAGTTCCTCTCCTGATGCTTCAATGGCAGATATAATTCCGATGCTTGATGAATTGCATCCGCTTTTGGGCTCAGATGCTCCACAGCCTGCTCAGATGTCTCATGATGGTTCTGATGCTGCCTCAGAGAGCTCTCATGGTAGTAGTAATGATGAAAGTGTTGAGTCAGATGAGTCAGAAAACCAGGGGGAGGAAGATAATGATGATGAGGAGGATGAGGATAAGGGAGAAGGAGTAAAGGGAGATAAAGAAGATGAGAGTAAATCTGCAATTAAATGGACAGAGGATGATCAGAAGAATCTCATGGATTTGGGGACTTCTGAGCTTGAAAGGAACCAACGATTGGAGAATCTTATTGTAAGGAGAAGAGCCCGTAAAAACATGAGATTGATGGCGGAGAAGAATCTAATAGACTTAGAGAGTGCTGATATTACCTTAAACATCACACCAATTTCTACAACAAGACGTAACCCATTTGATCTTCCTTATGATTCCCACGATGACCTAG